TATTTAATCTGGTTAGTGCTAGTTGGGAATTGCAAGGCTTAAAGCTTAAACCTTCCTAGGAAGAGACAATAGCAAATCACTTCTATATTCTTGCCAAGAAATCTACATGGTGTGCAATCATCAGAATCAACCTGAACTTGGAGAAAATTTTACCTTTTATAACCAAATTGGCAGGCTTTCAAGATTGCTGAAAAATAGTGATTTGCCTGAGTGCAATTGCATGCATGTTTATTTGTGAGGAAGTCCAACTAAATTCAATGGAATATCCCATCTTTTTATGCAAAAAGAAAAAAAAATGCAGCCAGCATTTAAAAGTACAATGCGCTTAGTCGCAAATCTAGGGTTAAAACAAAAAGTTTAGAAGAACAACTACACAGCATGGTGAAAGCAATGTTTTACATGAAAAAAGTCTCACAACATAGGTAGATAAACTATGGGTGTGAAAGTGTGTCAAAGAACAAATTATGTGGTATGTTGAGAGTCACACTCAAAACAGCAATATAAAAAGAGGAAGATGGAAAGGAGAATGGCAGGAAACAAAAGGCATAAATTAAAATTTAATTAAAATCATAAAATAATCTTCAGAAATGGAAGATGTGTTTGTAAGCATTATTAGACACGGTACACTTTCATGTATATTTTATATAACTTAAATTTTAATTACTGTATATGTAAAATCAATATATTTACACTGGATATGCACTTTTTAAAACTTTCCTACTATTGTTAGATAACTAGAGATGGTTTCAGAGACATTTTATCACTGAATTGGCTATGTCAGCAGAGAGAAATTTGGGTGAAATCATTTGCATTTCAGAGAAAATGAACAGCTAGCTAATAATGTAAAGTATTTTGGACCAAGCAAACATATGCTAAAAAGACAAATATTTAACTATGTACCTTAACTACCTATACTTTGTATTCACTAAGTGATAAATTACTAGTATTATAGTAAAATTACACAAATTTAGAATAATATTTGGCTATTTTCACAGCTATAGGTTTCAGATACAATGGGCTATCTGTGGTCTACCTCATCTTCCTGCTAATTCTCCCACTGTGTCCCAGACCAAATGATATTACAACGCAAGGTAGGCAAACGTCCACCAAATACTAATTCGCCTTTTAATGACCTCCAGGTAGGTATGGTTTACAGTCCATGTTTTACAGTCAATATTGACAAAGCCAAATGCCTACAGAATTCTGGGAATCAGAGTCTCAACCCATTGAGGGTGCCATGTTGACTATAGTATGTTGAACTACACTCAGGTTAATTATAGTGTATAATTTAGTAATCTAGTAGTACTTTAGTACTTTAACCACTGGATTAAATTATACCATATATAATTTAGTCAATTTAGTCTAGTGGTAGAAACAGGAAGCTGTGAGTTCTAGCCCCACTTTAGCCATGAAAGCCAGCTGGGTGACTTTGGGCCAGTCACTTTTTCTTAGCCCAAATCACCTGACAAAAGGCTGGAGGAGGAAGGAATTTAACGTTCATAGAATAGAATAGAATAGAATAGAATAGAATAGAATAGAATAGAATAGAATAGAATAGAATAGAATTGAATTGAATTGAATTGAATTGAATTGAATTGAATTGAATTGGAATTTTTTATTGGCCAAGTGTGCATATGCTCTCAGTGTACATAAAAGAAAAGATCATCAAGAATCATAAGATACAACACTTAATGATAGTCATAGGGTACAAATAAGCAATCAGGAAACAATATCAATATAAATCATAAGGATACAAGCAACAAAGTTACAGTCATAAGTGGAAGGAGAGGGGTGGTGGGAACAATGAGAAGATAATAGTAGTGCAGACTTAGTAAATAGTTTGAGAGTGTTGAGGGAATTATTTGTTTAGCAGAGTGATGGTTTTTGGGAAAAAGCTTGTGTGTTGTGGAGGTTAATAAAATCAATGAACCGTGAACCTTTGTCTCTATGAATTTCTACTTTAACAAATCTCTGGTCAGTGGCGGAGTGGTCTGGATATAGGGGATATAGTTATTGAACCCCTGTCATGGTCGGACCATTCTCTCCTGAGACTGGACCTTTCGACCGCTGCACCCCACTGCAGGGAGGCGGAACCGACCAGGTGGTTCCGCCCCAGGCGCCTGATGGATCCTGATAGGTTCCAGAGGGAGCTTGGGCCAGTTCCTGAAACTCTGGCACACGACTCGGCTGAAGATCTGGTGGCTGCCTGGGATAGGACAGCCGCCGGTGCTCTGGACCGAGTCGTGCCTTTGCGGCCTCTGACCCGACGCCGAACCTGCCCGGCTCCTTGGTTTTCCGAGGAGCTGAGGGAGATGAAGCGCCGGAAAAGATGCCTAGAGAGTGGTTGGAGGGCGAGTCGCTCCGAATCCGACCGAACACTAGTTAGGTCTCATATTAAGACCTATCTAGTGGCGATAAAAGCGGCAAAGCGTAACCACTTTTCCGCTCTTATTGCATCGGCAGATAACCGCCCAGCCGCCTTGTTTAGGGTGACCCGCTCCCTCCTACATCAGGGAGCACGGGAGGACCCCTTGCAAGGGCAGGCTGAGGATTTTGCACAGTATCTGCACGATAAAATCGCTCAGATTCGGGAAGGCTTGGACTCTGACTGGGTAGATCCCGGCGGGGTGACTGAGGCTGGTCTTGAGAATGTTACCTGGGATGAGTTCGACCCTGTGACTCCTGAGGACGTGGACAGGATCCTGGGGAGGTTAAACGCAACCACATGTTTATTGGACCCGTGCCCCTCCTGGCTGGTACTGGCCACCCGGGAGGTAACACGAGGCTGGCTCCAGAGGATCATAAATGCTTCTCTGAGAGAGGGTTTCTTGCCTCCCGCCTTGAAAGAGGCGGTGGTGAGGCCCCTCCTCAAGAAGCCTTCTCTGGACCCGGCCGTTTTGGCAAACTATCGTCCGGTCTCCAACCTTCGCTTTGTTGCGAAGGTTGTGGAGAGTGTGGTTGCGCGCCAGCTCCCACAGTTCCTGGATGAAACCGTCTATCTAGATCCGTGCCAGTCCGGCTTCAGGCCTGGGTACAGCACGGAGACGGCATTGGTCGCATTGGTGGATGATCTCTGGAGGGCTCGGGACAGGGGTTGTTCCTCTGTTCTGGTCCTGTTAGACCTCTCAGCGGCTTTTGATACCATCGACCATGGTATCATGCTGCGCCGGCTGGAGGGACTGGGGGTGGGAGGCACCGTGTTGCGGTGGTTCTCCTCCTATCTCTCTGACCGGTCGCAGTCTGTGTTGGCAGGGGGGCAGAGGTCGACTTCGAGGCGCCTTGCTTGCGGGGTGCCGCAAGGGTCGGTCCTCTCGCCGCTCCTGTTCAACATTTATGTGAAGCCGCTGGGTGAGATCATCCGTGGTTTTGGGGTGCGATGCCATCTGTACGCTGATGACACTCAGCTGTACATTTCCACCCCAGACCACCCCAATGATGCCCTCGAAGTGATGTCCCAGTGTCTGGAGGCCGTGCGGGTCTGGATGGGGAGGAACAGGCTTCGGCTCAACCCTTCCAAGACCGAGTGGCTGTGGATGCCGGCGTCCCGGTATAGCCAGCTGGTGCCATCGCTGGCTATTGGGGGCGAGTCACTGACCCCCACAGAGGGGGCTCGCAACTTGGGCGTCCTCCTGGACACACGGCTGTCTTTAGAAGAGCATATGACGGCCGTGGCCAGGGGGGCTTTTTATCAGGTTCGCCTGATACGCCAGTTGCGCCCCTTTCTGGATCGGGACTCCTTGTGCACAGTCACTCATGCCTTGGTTACGTCACGCCTGGACTACTGTAACGCTCTCTACATGGGGCTCCCCCTGAGGAGCACCCGGAGGCTCCAGCTGGTGCAGAATGCGGCTGCGCGGGTGATTATGGGAGCGACGTGGCGCTCCCACGTAACACCTCTCCTGCGCGAGCTGCATTGGCTCCCGGTGGTCTTCCGGGTGCGCTTTAAGGTGTTGGTTCTCATCTTTAAAGCGCTCCATGGCTTAGGGCCAGGGTATTTGCGAGACCGCCTGCTGCTACCGATAACCTCCCACCGGCCAATACGCTCTCACAGAGAGGGCCTCCTCGGGGTGCCGTCGGTCAGGCAATGTCGGCTGGCGGCCCCCAGGGGGCGAGCCTTCTCTGTGGGGGCACCCGCCCTGTGGAATGAGCTGCCTCCTGGAATACGATTGATCCCGGACCTCCGGACCTTCCGTAAAGCCCTGAAGACGTTTTTATTTCATCAAGCCGGCCTAGCCTAAATGGTTTTTAATTGGGATTTTAAATTTTATGGATTTGGGGTTTTAAATTTGGGTAGCCAATGATTTAATTCTTTTAATTATCTTAACTTTTGCATTTGTATGTTTTTTAATCTTGGCTGTTCACCGCCCTGAGTCCCTTCCGGGAGAAGGGCGGTATACAAATTAAATAAATAAATAAATAAATAAATAAATAAATGAGCCTTTAAATCATTTAACAGTAAATGTTTTTATTTATATAATAAAAACATAACAATATCTATACAATTAATAAACAGCACTTAGTTACTATGATTAATTATCCTGTCAGTTATATATCTATATCTATTCTCTCTAAGCTATGTTATCTATGACTATTCTTCCTCAGAAGAAATATTATTATAAACCACCATAACTGCTCTTCTAACAGACTTCCAAACTGCTCACAGTTGTTTAACGGAAGATCCTAGAAGAGTTAAGACCTAAGACCTAAGACCAAATAGCTAAGACGAGTGAAGATCGAAGAGCAAAGAGTTTCTGACAAGAATCTCCTTTTATACTGCTAACTATGAGAGTTAGGGTAGGACCCTGGAGATTCAAACATATTAGCTGCCCTCTGATTGGCTTATGTATCTGTCCATTCCAAAAGCCATTAATAGGCACAGCTATAGAGAAATAAATTTTCTCTAACATTGTGTCTAGTTGTTCTGATGTGCAGTACTCTACAGCGTCGTTTTGAGGATAGGAATTTTAAACAGTTTATGCCCAGGATGCAAGGGGTCTGTAAATATTTTCACAGCCCTCTTTTTGACTCGTGTAGTATACAGGTCCTCAATGGAAGGCAGGTTGGTAGCCATTGTTTTTTCTGCAGTTTTAATTATCCTTTGAAATCTGTGTCTGTCTTGGGTTGCAGAACCAAACCAGACAGTTATAGAGATGCAGATGACAGACTCAATAATTTTCAAGTGGGACAGCACTAGCCTTTCAAAGGTTTTCATGACTACAGATGTTAGAGCAACTGGTCTGTAGTCATTCAGTTCCTTGATGGTGGGCTTCTTTGGCACTGGGATGATAGTAGAGCGTTTGAAGCAAGAAGGAACATAGCACATCTTTAGCAATTTATTGAAGATACGGGTGAAAATGGGGGCCAATTGGTCAGCACAGACTTTTAAGCAAGAAGGAGTTATCTTGTCTGGGCCTGGAGCTTTTCCTGCCTCTTGTCTGTGAAATAGGTCTTGCACTTCCTTTTCTGTGATCACTAGGGGTTGTGAACCCAATGGGATGGGGTCAGTTGTAGGAGGCTTGGCTGTTGTTGGTGTGTCTGAGATGGGGGTTGTGGAGATAGGTGGCTGTAGTTTCCTTTCAAACCTGCAGTAAAACACGTTCAAGTCATCTGCCAGTTGTTGATTTCCTTCAGCCTGGGAAGGAGGTTTGCCACTGCTGGTGTTATTTTTAAGAGTTTTCCACATGTTTGCTGGTTCATTTGTTGAGGACTGATTCTTTAGCTTTTCAGAGTAGCTTCTTTTTGCTGCCCTGATCTCCCTTGTTAATACATTTCTGGCCTGATTGTATAGCATTTTATCACCTTTTCTGTAGGGTTCCTCTTTGGAACGACGTAGCTGCTTAGGTTTAGCTGTGAACCAAGGTTTGTTGTTATTGTATATTCGCAAGTTCATGGTCAGTACACATAGGTCTTCACAGAAGCTGACATATGATGTTACAGTATCTGTGAGTTCATCCAGGTCTGCAGAGGTATCTTCAAAAATATTCCTTAGCCTTGAGTTATTTATAAAAATAATAAAGATGGTATGGAAATAAATAAATAAATAAAACATTGAATAAAATGAAATAAACTACTAGACTGTGCCTCTTTTATGGTCTCTGATCTGCACTTATTGCTCTTGCCGCAGAACATTTCCAACAAAAACTTCTAAATCACAATATTCTTTTGGATCGTATTTAAGAACCATAGCATTATTTCAACATTGGTCTGAAAACCTTTGACTAATTTCATTTATCTATATATACTTGACTTTAATTGGCTAGGTATCCCTTTATGATTAATTCCATTCTGGAAGGCAGATATTTATTCTCTCATAAATAGTAGCATCATGATTTAGAAAGCAACTTTTTAAATTTTTAAGATTTTTCTCCTTAAATTACATTTAAAAAAAATAGTGGGATTGTGTAATGGAATAGAAATGTTTAAATAATGTTTATGTTTTTGTCTTTCAGGCTGCACTGGGCACTTGCTTAGAACCATCAGCTATACCAGCTTCATTTTCCTTATGTTACAAGGGTCTTTTCAAATTGCTTTCTACTACTTACCACCTAATGGTACAGATCAGTTCAAAATTTCATGGCAATAATTTATTCTAGGGGTAAAAAACATTACAACTAGAGATCAGACTTGGAATAACTTATCAATGATATTTTTGCCCAACATAATTAACTGGTTACTTAACCAGGAGTTTGTGTTCTTTGAAACACCATCAATATTTGTAAAACGAAAACTCAAAAGATTAAAAACTAATTCCAACAAATGTAGAGTAAGAAACAGAAAAGAAAAAGAAGTCAAAGAAGAAGTTAAAAATTCCAGAAAAGAAAGGAGAAGAAAAGAAAAAGAAAAAAGATACAAAGAAGTAGATTCCTATCTTCTTTACAGCAATCATAGTAGAATTCTGGGTGGCCATTTTGAATTTCTCAAGTTCTAAACATTACCTCAGAACGGTTTGTTCTGAGGTTGTTTGAAATTTGAGAAATTCAAAATAGCTTCTACATTATTACTGTACAGTATCTCTATAGAAAAAGAAATAGGGTATAAAGTATATTTTAATATGCAAAGACTTGGTTTATGTGTGGTTTAGTAAGCTATAGTGTTACATTCTTTGAAGAAAGGGTATTGAATCTAGATTCTAGAAGGTACTTATAGGTACAAAATAACAATGTCTAGTTTCATGTAAATTTATCTTTAAACTTGAATTACTGGGAAATTGTTTATGTTTAGAATTTTTTTCCTTTTTTTGGAATCTACCCCCCAAAAATCTTTAAAAATGCTCATTTACTTTGTTCAAAAGCAGACACAAATATTTTTAAAAGTGTCATTTGGGGATAAAATTATTTTCTGATTTGGGTGATATGAGGCCATTCAAAACTATATTACAACAATTGTTATATCAAAACAAATATTAGAAATATTTGTCATCATTCATAGGGTTCAAGCTAAACATGACTTGGGACATGTCCCTCATGTTTATATATATTGATTTTAATTTGAATTAGAATGACATTGTTTTTACATTTGTTTTGCACTTATTTCCTTGCCAATTTCAAAATTCTAAGACATTCATATGAAGGACTGCAAATGTTTCATTTTAAAAGTTTTTGCCAATAACACAATCCATGTGTTAGACAGCCCGCCCACAAACACCCCCCAGTTCCACCAAGATCTACATTTTTTAGTACAAACAATACATTAAAATATTGAGGAATGGAATATAATGGCTGTTTCCAAACCAATGGTTTTTCTTTTCACAGATTTTTTTGGGGAGGAAGTGCTGTCACATTTTGGTATTGTACGGTAAGATTTTAATTCAATTGACTGATTTTATTGTTGGGGTGGAGAAGGTAGGGGTGTCCACAGGGCATAGTTGAAAAAAAGTCAAAATAGTAGTTATGACACTAAAATTGAAACACTTCCCATTTTTTATATGTGCCACAGAGCTTTGATTGCACCATACGGGGCAATAACTAGAGACTTTGAATAAATAGTTTATTATTTCTATATATTTATAAATAATTTAATATTTTGATAAATATAAATAAATCAGTGGTTGGATTCAAAAAATTTTACTACCAGTTCTGTGGGCATGGCTTGGTGGGCGTGGCTTGGTGGGCATAGCAGGGGAAGGATACTGTAACATCTCCATTCCCTCCCCACTCCAGGGGAAGGTTACTGAAAAATCCCCATTTCCTCCCGATCAGCTGGGATTCGGAAGGCAGACAATAGATGGGAGGGGGGCCAGTCACAGGTGGTATTTACCAATTCTCTGAACTACTCAAAATTTCCACTACTGGTTCTCCAGAACTGGTCAGAACCTGCTGAATACCACCTCTGAAATAAATACAAGTAATGGCAGACAAGCCTTCCTGTCCCATTGCTAACCAATTTCCAAAGGTTCTAGAAAGTCATTAAGGGAAGCTCAATGCTGTTGTCTTTTTGACAGCCAGATTTGATGGATCAGGCGGCTTTGTTCCTCACACCTTGGGAAAACTTAAATCATTTAACAGTAAATGTTTTTATTTATATAATAAAAACATAACAATATCTATACAATTAATAAACAGCACTTAGTTACTATGATTAATTATCCTGTCAGTTATATATCTATATCTATTCTCTCTAAGCTATGTTATCTATGACTATTCTTCCTCAGAAGAAATATTATTATAAACCACCATAACTGCTCTTCTAACAACCCGTTTCTTACCAGAAAATATCCCCTTTTCCCCAATACAGCCACCAGAGCAATTTGCAATAATAGTCACAGCTTTGGGCATATGCACCCAGTTGCAAATACAGGTATTGAAAAGGAAGGAAGGGAAGATATGTGCTCACATTTTTATTTTCTTTGTGTGTGGCATGAAAATAGAGGGGACTTTTGTTATATGGTAGATGGGGCAGGAGATTAATTATATGATGTTCTTTGCACTTCCCTCTTGGAAACTGAAGGATAAGAAATCAGCAAAAAACCAACAGAAATTAAAAGGATGCTTTTTAAACTGTGCTGTGAATGTTTGGGAGGATAAAACATTGGCGGTATGCTCTTATTTCTCAAACCCATTATCATTTGGTACCCTCCAGTATGGTGAAGTCGCCTGTCAGTAGTGCAAACACCATTTTATTATAACTCTGCCTACTAGATTTGGTTTTCAAATTTTCAGCAGACTTATAGATGGCAGCAAATAATTTGTTTTCTGTATCTCTCTGCTGCCATCCAATGATTATCTAGATTTCTGTATTGGTAGCCTTAATTATGGGAAATAAAGTTTAAAATATATTGGATAGCCTTAATTATGGGGAATAAAGTTTAATACATAATAATTCTGAAGATTTATCTATAAGGTGCAGGTTAAGAGCGTAAATGAATATAGAAATGACAACTTCAACTGTGATACAAAGTAAGCAGCTGGTGCATGTATCTCTTTTCTCGGTGAATAACCTGGACCTAAATCTTATTGATATGAGTATAATTTATTTCCAGGCATGTGGATTTAAAATACAATTGGAGGGTGTTAGATACTCTCCAGCTTTCTGAGCTCCAAGAATTAAGGAAAAGCTTGTATTGTTTTACCTAAATCAGAATCTGATCCATTGCAAATGGAGCAAAAATAAAGAAGTTTCTCCTACTAGACTGTGAAAATCTTAGCTTTATAAAATAGTAATATTCCATGTATCCTGTAGGTTTAGCAGGCTTGATGCTGGAAACATCATACATCTTTTGGCTCCTGACATTGGAATGTTTCTTTTTGGTCTGACTGTCACCCTGCTTTGCCGTAAGACAGTGAAACTCAACAACTGGGAAAGTGAGCCTCCATCTGGAGACCAAGATCAGTTTTCTTCAGATGAGGAAGAAGACATGAAAGAGACGGTAGAGATGCTACATGTGTTGAATTTCTTGATGTAACAGAAACAAAGTGAAGATTAGAAAAGGAAAAGGAGAGGGTCTTCCTTTATTCTTTATAATAGAAGCACTTAGTGATTTAATTTTTGTAATATTCTGAACCTCAAACTAGCAACCACTTTTTAGCCTTGTACCTTGTGTTTTTTTAAACTGTGTTATTTGTTTTTATTTCAATGTCTGTTTGTCAGATGTCAAATAACTGGTCACAATTATGCAGTCCAAGCCCTTCCCACTTCTTATATGCATTACATGTATTCACAAATATGTCATGTAAATCTGAGAACTGAGTTAGTTTCATAAAATGTTTGTGCAAATATAACTGTCAAGTATAAATAACATGAATCAAAATCTCAATCTACTCAAGTGTAGTATGGTTGGTTAGTTTTTAGCTCAGATTTTTGCATTCAACCCAACCATAGTAGTTTATGGCTCAGTCAATTTTGGTTTATTCACTGAACCATGATGACAGAAACTGAGGTTTACCATACTTCAAAGTCTGAGAAATGGGACATAATCAGTGAATTAATTGGAAATGGAGATAAATCATCAAATGAGTTATTTGGCTTGAACTTCAGCTTTAAACTACCTAATAATCTGTGTGTAATCCTTATAATTACATAGCAATAATTGTGTACAAATGTTTGATTTGGACTCATTAGGCTTATGTGATACATATCTATTCAGAAAATAAATCTGACTAAATTCAGAGGAGCTGAAGCAAGGTATAAACATAACTACAGCCTAAAAATTCTTTTGTTTAAAAAAACACCACATTAAAAAAAAGAAAAACTTTCACCTCCTAGGTAAATCTCAGGTAAACATGTACTCATTGAAGAGCGCAGAAAGAAATACCTGTGCTAGATATGTCTAATTGCTCATATTCCTTCCAAAAGTAGATAGACCTTTCCACATTTATCAGACGAGAAAATGGTTTTTTGTTTTGCTTATTTTTAAAAAATATGACAACACAGATATATTGAGTACATTGGCGTATCAACAGCACTGTAATCATTTATTGATAGGGTATCAGGCTTTAAGAAGATGAAATAATTCATCAACACCCACCCCCCCATTGGGTTTGTTTAGCAATAACAATAGCACTTAGACTTATATACCACTTTACAGTGCTTTACAGCCCTGTTCTAACCTCTCTAAGAGTCAGCATATTGCCCCCAACAATTTGGGTCCTCATTTTACCCATCTCAGAAGCATGGAAGGCTGAGTCAACCTTGAGCCTGGTGAGATTTGAACTGCCAAATTGCAGGCAATCGGCAGTTAGCAAAAGTAGCCTGCAGTACTGTACTGTAACCACTGTGCCACCACGGTTTAAGTGCTTTATTTGGAGAAACAACAATTCCTTACACAGAATTGTAACAGAATCTCTGGCCCTCCTGTTGTCTGATGGTTTTGCTGCTTGTGTTGAGTACTGATTCTTGATCTATATACTGTATTCTATGTCCGCAGGAATCTGAAGCAGAAACTGAAGATACTGAGGACACAGACATTGGTTGTCTGTTTGAAAAGGATCATTTAAGACACAGCCATTCAGGTTTTCTTCTGAAATTCACTTTGTTCCTAACAGGCTTGGAGAGACTTTGTGAAGACACACTTAGAACTACTGGAAAAGTCTTCATTATGCTTCTGTTAGGCTCAACAGGTACAAGTTACTTCACATATTTGTGGGACAGTGGGTTAGGTTAGGCACAACTTAGTGCCCCCACAAGAGGAAAGAAAAGGTGATCTCTGGCATTTTTACATCTGAATACAGCATTGGGGTGTTTGTATGACAAGATACTACAGATTATACCAAATGGAGAACAGGTATCTCCTCGTTTGTTTTAGTTAGTAATGATCCCTCTTTCTCCACATGAAGAAGTCATAAATGGCAAGCTTGGCCCCATAGTAGCAGTAACTTGGAAGTGTTAGCTAGATTAGCTTTTGCTTTTCACCTGTCTCTTATCCACACCCACCACATTGTTGCAGACTTCTCCATTCTGATTAGGAGAGTGGAGCAGCAGCTCTCCATAACAGCCCCAATTTCTCATGTGGCTCATGTAGCTTCTGAGGAAAATTATGGTAATTGCCTATCCCTGCTCTTACAGGAAGTCCTTGCTTAACAACCTTAACTGGGACTATCGATCCATTGCTAAGTGCCCTGGTTGCTAAGTGGAACATGAACGTGATGGGCATATGACATCAATTCCTATATCATGAATTATTAAAACAAGATTAAATGTTAAACATGTGACCGTGCCTTGGAGTTTGACTTCCAAATTCTCCATTAATTCTGCTTGTCAGAAACTGATTGTGAAGCACATAAATGGCAATCACGTGACCATGTACATGTATACATCTGAAGTAGACTGTGTTGTTTCTCTTTGTCATATATAGGATGCTGCAATAGATATATATCCCAGGGTGCTTTTCTAAGGCAACTAGCCTTTCCTGGTTTTCATTTAGCTTTTCATCCAAGAAGCTCTTTCAGTTCTTCAGATATTTCTTGGATGAGAAGTGAAATGTTTTCAAAGAAAAAAACCAAGAAATTCCAATTGCCTTTTGGAAAACACTGTGACAACCATAACCTGATTGAGAATCTCCATTGACAATGAATGTAAATGTGAGAATTGATCATAGAGTTATGTTTTTTAACACCATTGTAACTTTGAATGGTCATTAAATGAAACTATTGGTATATGAGCATTACCTGTATTCCATTTTATTTTATTTTATTTTATTTTATTTTATTTTATTTTATTTTATTTTTTATTACATTCGGAGAGCTTTTATTTCTATGGAGGTGTTCTTAATTTTGTGATAGTTCTCCAATGGTATAAACTGAACCTTATAACCAAGAAAATCATATTCCCTTATCCCTAGGTATAATTCTACCTTCTGCATGCTCAGCAGTTTATTTCTTTACCTTCTTGGCTTTGTGCACCTGGTGGTCCTGGAATTATCCAATCAGTCCAGTTCTCTTCAATAGTTTGTGTGTTTTTCTTGCAATATTTTCCATGGGGCATATCATTGTGCTTTACTTGTACCAACTGCCATACTTCCAGGACCTTATTCCTTCAGAAGTCATTTATGTCAGGTAAAAACAAATCTCAGAAGGTGAAACCACAATTGACTGGTTATTTTATTTACATTCTCAGTGCTTCCTATGTACATGTTCATCCAAATTACTTGCAAAATCATTCTAAGTACCGTAATAGTTAAGATTATAGCTTTGCTCATTCACATTTATGTACTTGCAAATTATTATTTGAAGTGATTCTGCTCAAAGGAACATATACATATTTCACTGAATTATGAACGGAACAGATGCTACCAACTTGCTTGAACTCTTCAGATGTGTTCAAAATTCTGAAATTTTGCTATACTTGACAGGGAATTTTGGAAAATCAAGTCCACCAGATGCCTGAAATAGACTGAGGCAATAGAATTGAAGATTCAGGGAAGTTTCCTTTTTAAAATTGTGTTTTATTTGAGGTTGATGTATACATGTATTCCTGAGAGCAGGAATATAATCTGAGCAATGATTAGCTAGGCAGGTGTAGTAATTATAATAGAAAGTTGTTTGATTCTATAATTATAACAGAAAATACAGTAGAATGTTAAAGTTTGAAGATGGCTCTGAAAATAATATTTGGCAACCATTATGGTAACACCAGCTTAGCCTGGGTAGGGAGGAGGAAGTGAGAAAGAAACTCAAGATTGCCCTGTTTTTATTTTCTTGGGCAGCACTTGGAAGAGGGGGAGTGAGAGACTACCTGCCAGATTTTCAAGATTAAAGCTATTCTTTTCAAGCAGTCCAAATCAGGAAAAAGTCTATTGGAACTCTATTTCTTTAATTACAAGATATAATAAGAGAAATTTGGCACCCTGACACTGTTTCCTTTACACTCCCTCTTTTATGCAGGAGAATCAAAGCTAGGCAATTTTGAGTTTCTTCTGACTTCCTCTTCCCTTCTCAGGCTAAACTCTTGTTTATGTAACACCTTTTCAATCACTTGTTCAAGGACATCTCTGTTCTTTTTCTACATATGCATGGGGCAAAGCAGAGGTGGGTTTCAGCAGGTTCTGACCAGTTCTGGAGAAGCGGTAGCAGAAATTTTGAGTAGTTCAGAGAACTGATAGTAAATATTCTGACTGGCCCTGTCCCCATCTATTCTCTGCCTCCCAAGTCCCAGCTGATCAGGAGGAAATGGGGATTTTGCAGTAACATTCCCCTGGAGTGGGGAGGAAATGGGGATTTTGCAGTATCCTTCCCCTGGAGTGGGGTGGGAATGGAGATTTTACAGTATCCTTCCCCTCCCATGCCCACCAAGCCATGCCACACTCACCAAGCCACACTCATAGAACCGGTAATAAAAAATTTTGAAACCCACCACTGTGGCAAAGCCTAACATCTACATTGCTATAACCTACCAGGAACAGAGTCCAAGGACTTGTGTTCTATTTTTGTATGCCTGGAAGAAACATAGAACAATTTGAGCCAGATTAACAATCTCTGAGAAAAAGACCATATAGAATGATGAGCAAAGAAGACACAGAAAAAATCCTTAACCCCCTATCAACATGATACATGTGATCTGCTGGTTAGAATTAAATTAGGTGTTGAGGAATTAGTTCCCTTGGATCCACTCCTCCAACATGTGATGTGTGAATCTGAGTTTTTTATTTTGTTTTATTTTAAATCTTTTCAAAAATAAACTGGAGCATCAAAAAGAAAAAAAGATAATATATTGCATAGTTTTGAAGAACATTTTGTGACTTTCTCTTTTCGCTAGAGGTGGCACTGTCCAGAACTGTAATCTTTTAATCTGTGCATTTTGCATATAACAAAGCCAATATGTTTTAACCATGTTGGAAGTAAACAAGCCATATAGCTTGGCTTGTATGAAATGGTAGTAAAAAATTCTGTGTTATGACTTAATTATTACAGTATTGCATTGACCTATTAAGAAAGCTGAATTGCTGCTGCTGCTATTATGTAATGATTAATTGTTAGTGGACTAATATATTGTGGCACTATTCTTTTTTGTTTTTATAAAAAAAAAAAAATCTCCAGATTTTCTTCTACTGTCTTTTTCTCTAGGGTCTTGGGCATAGTGCCATTTATTAAGACAAATATTACAGCACCTTGGAAACTACACATTCATCCTCACCTAAACTGGCCAGTGGCTTTGAATCCTTTTTTCCTTCTTGCCCTGTATTATTTATCGGTCAGAATGTTGCAGCAGTGGGCATTGCTTGATAAGGTATGGTGTATATTAAAATTGAGTGTGACTAAGCGAGACCTTTGAGATTTCCTCTCAGGGACACAGAATGATCTAATTTGGCTTATATTCCTATTCTACTTGCATTTAACAGATCTTTCTATTTTTATAAGTCTCCTTTTCAATAGTATTAAATTGAATTACTGTGTACCATTTGAGAAAAAGTTCAGCTAGCCACTATGTATGTATGTATGCTTATATTTCATGAGATTTTGATGAGACTCTTTAGTTTTCAGTTTACTTTATTGTCATTGCACCTCGCACAACGAAATAGGGTTAACGTCTCTGCTGAACTGATTTGAAAGAGATGTAACTTCATCCTATAAATACTATAGGGTTGTTCTAAGGAATGTATTATTAGTGGAACTTTGTCAAAATTTCAGATTTTTCTGGGTTGATCTCAAGACAGGATGAACTATCATGAGCTGTGCCTCAAAAATTAAGAATCTGAGTCTTAGCAGGCAATTTTTAAAATGATGCCAGCTTCAACAGACCCTGTTGCTGTTGTTAAGTGAATCCCATGTGGTCATTAGACGAGGACCCACCCCAATCCAAACCATTCTTCTTGAAAGGCAGAGACTGCCTCCACTTCAGTTTTCTCCCCCCATTTGTCTTTTGGTCACTCGCCTACACTGCTGTTATTACTGCCACCATTGCTAGCTATAGTGCCCACAGCCCCTGCAGGCCACTGTATCTGCTGCTACTGCTGCTCCAAAACAACACAATCTTTCCCACTTCCATGGCTACCATGGTTGCCACCACTGTTGCTGCTGCCTCCATTATCAGTCACTTCCACCACCCACTGCCCATTGCTGCACCTGCTGTGGGCAATGGGCAGCAGGTGATGGGGATAATTGTGGATGGCAGGTAGTGGTAGGGAGGATAGCACCGGTGGGTGTAGGGATCAGTGCCAGACTAACAATCTGGCAGAAACAATATTCCAGTCAAGGAACCACCAAGGAGAAAACCACATTCCTACCAGGCAAGCTATTATCTATAAACAGATAGCAAGCCCCACACTCATTCACACTACTTGGGCAAGGAGACATCTGCAAACAAACAGCTCAGAGACCAGTAAGGACTTTATATTTTAACCTTGAGCTAAAGATGTTCTCTTCTGTTGGGAAGATATTTCTTCTGTTTTAGTCACAAGTTTTTAAAAAAATATTTGATATGCACACATGCACATACTGTATGTACATTCATGTACATAGCTACTACAGTACAAGCATATTTAACTCAGTCTTCTGCTCAAAGGATACATGAGATGATGCAAGATAGAAGTAAAACACAATCCCTATTAACTACAGTAGTTATATTTAATAACCATGGATAAGCTAAATAATTTATTATGACATTAGTCAGGTGAATAAACTGCATGTTGTATTAAGCACAATGTAGGTTTCAGTTTTTCCCCATATTGTGTCTCGTGCCCCACGGGAAACCTCCCCAACTCTGTTGCAGTCTTGTGTTAGTTCTGCTAAGACCATACATGTATTAGATCTTGCTAGTAAATCAGATTACAATTACAATGCCTGCAATGATCCTAAATTCTATAATCAACCTTTAAAACAAGATCTATTCTAACTGTATGAGATCTCATTTAAGGAGCAAAGGATTCACATAAGAAAGAGGAACTGGGTTATTTGGCTAATATCAAGTATCGGGCTTTTAGCTGAGAGAAAAATGGCTGAAATAAAGGGCTGTGAGAAGATAGTCCTAGCTACTGAGAAGATTCTACATTCTTTACTTTCATACCTTCTGTTCCTTAAAGAGATTACTTCACCTGCTATAAAATAGTTATAGATCCAGGTTTAAACATATGGCTCAGGTTGGGAATATAAACCATGGACATAAAAATAGCATGTTTTATTGTTTTCATGATGGTCTTCCTCCGTTTAAATCAATGCATCTTTTAGGGGCCCAAAGAAGAAGATATTCACTTTCATTCTGAGGACTACGTAGAAATTAAGATGCATTCTACGCTTCAGGTGAGCATGGATACTAATGGCAAGGTAAAATGCTACCAGTATTAAAAATTCTGCAGTGATTATAATTCTTGTCAATGAAATACTTAACAATAACCCAGCATGTTCAGGCAAATTATTTCTTGATATAAGGACTATTTTGGAATCCTTGGAGTGAGAGAGATAATTAGAAAAAAACATTCTATGTCCCTTTATTGCTGCTTTCTAAAGATAAACCTTCAGGTGTGCATAAGAAAAAAAAATACAATATGAAGTGAAGACTGACAAAATAAAAAAAAAATGGTCCACTGGATTTTGATTTGTTATTAGGTATTGGGAATAGTGTTTGTATGGATGGTTTGCTATTTGTTTCCAGTTATGCTCAAGTTGTACATATATCTTGTTCTTTTCAATAACCCCAAATCTCTAGTTTATCTTCCCAAGAGAGCCCATAAATGTTCTTACTGTAGCATGCTTGTATCATAGATTAGGCAAAAAAGGCACAGTGCTAAGAGCCTATGAAATGTTTGGGACCTAACAAAAATGAAAAAAAATAATGCACTTGGACAAAAGAAAAGGTGTAGCAGTGTTTTTACTTTGAGTATGATATTTCTGTAAACCCTCCCTCTTTGTATAAAATAAAAACACTTCTATTGTTTGCCTAGGTGGTTTCTCTTTCAAGTGAAATTCCACAGCAATGCCTCCTTTTGCAATGTCAGAATCATAGCAGTTGCAGTATGGATGGCTATTTAAATCAAGGACACACTGTTTCTCTATCAGGTATACTGTATATAGCATATTGCATGTTGCATATTGAATGCCAGATCATTCTGTTTGCCCTAAGGAATACTGTACAGAGAAATAGTTACTATACTATACTGATTCATAGAGCATCTATACTAACAACAGAGAAATATCTTATATCATTTTAACAGAATAGCAGAATAACAGAATTGGAAGGGACCTTGGAGGTCTTCTAATCCAACCTCCTGCTCAAGCAGGAGACCCTATACCATTATAGGCAAGTGGTTGTCCAGTCTCTTTTTAAGAGCTTCCAGTGATGGAGCACTTACTGATTTATCGTTCTCACTGTCAGGGTGCTTTGGAAAATAGGTTGATCTCCTCTTCTTTGTGTCAGTTCTTGTAGTATGGGAATACTGCTATCATGTCACCCCTAAACCTTCTTTTCACTAGACTAGACATACCAAATTCCTGCAACCATTCTTTTAAAATCTAACATTTAAATATTAAAAAGATTTTATTTTTTATGAAATATTTGTTTAATATTTAAATAGTTGAATATTTATTTCATAGTAAATAATTAAAATAAATAATTAAACATTTTGTAATATTTATTTAATATTTAAATATTAAATATTTAAACATTTAATATGATAGATTTAAAAAATTTTAAATCTAACATTGTTGCATGAACTTCAGAATGCATGTAATGTTAAAGCAGAACCAAATGCAAAATGTAAAATGCAGAACGCATGGTCAGATTATTTTTCTGTCAGTTAGTTCACTCAACTATCATTAGCTTTACATATAATTATTGCAAAAAAATATTTCCTGCATGCTATTGTCTTCTCAACTGCCAGAGGACTGGAAAAGAGCTGATATAGTTCCCATCTTCAAAAAAGGAAAAAAAAATAGATCCAGGAAACTACAGACCTATCATCCTGACCTCAATACCAGGGAAGATTCTGGAAAAGATAATCAAGCAACGAATCAGCGAACACCTAGAAGCAAACAAAGTAATAACCAAAAGCCAACATGGGTTTGTCAAAAACAGATCATGCCAGACTAATCTTATTGCATTCTTTGACAAAGTGACAAAATTAGTGGACCAGAGGAATGCTGTGGATATAATTTACTTGGACTTCAGTAAGGCATTTGACAAATACACTATAACTTACTACTAAAGTAGAAAAATGTGTGTTATTATTTATTTATTTATTTATTTATTTATTTATTTATTTATTTATGTATGTATGTATGTATGTATGTAATTTATTTATGTAATTTATATGCAGCCCTTCTCCCGTAGGACTCAGGGCGGCTTACAAAAACAAAACAAGGAATTACATAAACAATTAAAATCAGTTTAAAATTGAATTAAAATCAATTAAAAAATTTTAAAATTAATTGAAGTCACCCTTACGGATTCAGCCCATTTGGTGAAAAAGCCACGTCTTCAATTCGCGGCGGAAGGAGAGGAGGTCTGGGGCTGTCCTGAGGCCGGTGGGCAGCCCATTTAGACAGGGTTTAGGGTTAGACAGCATCACCACCAAATGGATTTGTAACTGGCTGACCAACGTGTAGTCCTCAATGGAACTGCATCTACATGGAGGGAAATATGCAGGGGAGTACCCCAAGACTCTGTTTTAGGCCCAGTACTCTGCAACATCTTCATCAATTATTTGGATGAGGGGATAGATGGGGAACTCATCAAATTTGCAGATGACACCAAGCTGGCAGGAATAGCCAACATTCCAGAAGATAGGCTTAAAATACAGAAGGATCTTGACAGACTTGAACATTGGGCGCTATCTAACAAGATGAAATTCAATTGTGAAAAAAGTAAGGTTCTACATTTAGGCAAGGAAAACAAAATGCATGTATAGTATATGTGGTACCTTGCTCAATAGTAGTAACTGTGATAGGGATCTTGAAGTCCTAGTGGACAACCATTTAAATATGAGCCAGCAGCGTGCATCAGCTGCCAAAAAAGCCAACACAGTTCTAGGCTGCATAAATAGAGGGATAGAATCAAGATCATGTGAAGTGTTAATACCACTTTATAATGCCTTGGTAAGACCACATTTGGAATATTGCATCCAGTTTTGGTCACCACGATGTAAAAAAGATGTTGAGACTCTAGAGTGCAGAGAAGAACAACAAGGATGATTAAGGGGCTGAGGCTAAAACATATGAAGAATGGTTGTAGGAACTGGATATGTCTAGTTTAATGAAAAGAAGGACTAGGGGAAACATGATAGCAGTGTTCCAATATCTCAGGGGCTGCCACAAAGAAGAGGGAGTCAAGCTATTCTCCAAAGCACCTGAGGGCAAGACATGAGCCGAGGTGGCACAGTGGTTTAGAGTGCAGTACTGCAGCTACTTCAGCTGACTGCTAATTCAGCAGATCAGCGGATCAAATCTCACCGGCTGTTCTGCCCCAGCTCTGGATTCCCGAGGATATTGACACACACCAACGGTCCTTATCAAATTTATTAAGTAGCAAGAATAAACCAAAGTCTGGCAAAGGTTGGCAACCAGCCCAGAAAACAAGATATGATAAGACTTTTCCAAAAATGCTCTGATGATAATTACAAGTTGTTTCTAGCAAGAAACTTACTAACGGCATGTGACTTAAATAGGCTAAGGGAGTGGCCAATTATCCTCAAGCCTTACTCTCGAGGAGACCTCCTCCTCCTGAGTAGCCACTCCTGCCTTTTGGCAGCCCTCCGTGCTCGAGCATTGAGGAGAGGCTCCTCCACTTCGCTCTCTCCACTTGAAGGAGCCTCTGGAGGTTTGGAAGGCCCTGGCTGAGTCTCTGCCTCTAGCACCACATCCTCTTCAGCCTCCTCGCTGTCCGACACGAGCGCCGGCTGTGCAGACTGCTGGCGCGACACCACACCAGCCTCCTCGTCGTAGGGATCAGCCATGATCTGCGCAGGCCGCTGGCGGGCCACAACACCGGCTCAAGGTTGACTCAGCCTTCCATCCTTCCGAGGTGGGTAAAATGAGGACCCGTATTGTTGGGGGCAATATGCTATTTAGTATACTGGTGTAAGTCACCCAGAGTCCTTGGAGAGTGGGCGGTTTAGAAATATGACTAATAAAATAAATTAAATAAATAAGAAACAACAGGTGGAAACTATTCAAGGAGAGAAGCAACTTAGAACTAAGGACAAATTTCCTGACAGTGAGAACAATTAATCAGTGGAACAACTTGCCTCCAGAAGTTGTGAATGCTCCAACACTGGAAGTTTTTAAGAAGATATTGGATAACCATTTGTCTGAAGTGGTGTAGGGTTTCCTGCCTAAGCAGGGGGCTGGACTAGAAGACCTCCAAGGTCTCTTCCAACTCTGTTATTCTATTCTATTCAATAGCTGCATCTGAATGTTTTGAACAAAATGCTAATGTATTACTGCCAATTAATGATAATACTTCTTGCATTTGGTGAAATATACTTGAATCCATAAATAACTGTGCTTAGGTGTTAGACCATGTCATATTCACAACAAAAGGGCCAGGGTTAATCCAAGGGATATCCAAATAAATCTATAAGAAAGTCTGTCTAACCTACAAGCTGCTTCTAATCAGGGTCTTTAATCCTGAATTATATGGTATGATTCAACATAAAACAACCTCTTAATCTCCTGAGAGTAAATTATATTAAATCTATTATTCTTGAAGGAGCATGTAGCTCTTTGTTATTATCAGAAAATGTGGATATTTACCACATATTTTTATTCAAGTTTATGCCCTGTTGGACCATAATTTCAATCAAACTCAGCATGTCATGTTTCATCAAACCACCCATAGTGATCAATATAGGTCATTTATAAGGGAGATTTATAAGGGGATGAGCAAGAGGGCCTTGACCCTTGCGAGTCAGTTGATTTTACCTTTCAAATACCTACTCCTAAATCTCCTTTTAAGTATTAGTTTATCCAGTTTCAATGTAACAATGGTTTGCTGGAAATAGAAGACAGAATTGGAGGAATGAGTAATAAGAAAATGTTCATATATAATTAATGCTTATTGTTCATTTCCTCCCTCCCTCCCTCCCCTTTTTTTTGAATTTTTCAAAATGGGTTTCAAGGGCACTGGGTTGTTTTCACCAAATAAAATAAATTGAAAACGGACTTCAAGAAACCTGGACATTACTTGTAATTTGTCATTTTTCCAAATTTAATATTTTTTGCAGAGCACACAATATATTCTGAAACCTCCCCAGAAGTTCATGAAAAATGTAACATGGAAAAAAAATCTAGTACATTCTTAGCATTGGCACAATTCATTACAAATCAGAGCTATGTCATTGCATTGATTACTATGATGGTAAGAACTTCCTTTTGTGGTCTTTTAAGAGCTGTTACCAAGTAGCTGTTCAGCATCACAACCAGGCATCCCTGCACTGCTGTTTTATAGAATCTATTGCCTTCCAAATGACCAGGAGTATTTCCAAGTTTGCTGTGTGCCTTCCTAATAAATCAAAATTTCAAAGTCATATGAACAGAGATTTGGGGAATTATAAATTTGCATATCTGGATGGCACCAAATTGGGGAAGCATTTTGAAATTATCTATTTTGAACTTGATTCTACTCACCCTGTTCACAGTTTTATGATGTTATGCTTTCCACTTCTACATTTTAAGGCTCATGTCTTAAATCAAAATTATACCCATAATGACATTTATGCAATTATTCTGAAGTTATATTTAGGTATATTTTTGTATAAAGTTGTTAAGATTAAAATTACAGCTTCATTCATAAAATAGGGGTAATCTAACTATTCAAGACTTGCACAATATACTAAACATAAATTAACCAAACGTGGTATGTTTGCACACGTTAAATTATAAAAGGTGAACATTAGGGAAGTACAGTCTACAAGTGCATCTGGTAGATCTTTACAGGAGTGGTTAAGAATGTTATGTGAATATAGTCAATTAAGACCGAATAATATTTGCATATACCGTGGACAGATGGGGCAATCAATAGAGAGGTGATGAATTGTATAAAACTAGAAACATCACTAGAAGCCAAAATCACAAGGCTATGCCTGATTTACTTTGGCCAAATAATGCGTGCAAATTAATTGGAGAAGCCAATGATGCTAGGAAATAGTGGATCAAAAAGAAGAGGCAATCAAAAAACTTGATGGCTTGATACCATCAAAACTGATACAAAGACAAACATTTAAAAACTAAAAGAAGCTGTTTTTGATAGGGTAACATAGAGAACATTTGCCTATAAACTTGCCAGAAGTCAGACACGACTGAATGTTGCAGAATGAAATGAATATAAGAAATGTGTCTTGTTATATGTTGGCTATATTTTTACAGTCCTATTATCCATATTGGTCTATGAAACTGCAACCTTATCAAAATCTGCCTGCTTTAAAATACATAATTGCTATGTATTCATTCATAGGTTTGGAGTATCACCTACAATAGCTGGCTAACTTTTGTCCTGCTAATTTGGTCCTGTATAATTTGGATGGTACATGACCGTCAACTCTATGCCTTGCGCAGTTTACCCTTTCTTGTCTCCTATGGAAATGTACTGGTGATTCTTAATTTTATTGTGGGACTGAATCTTTCGCAAGAGGAATTATTTCCAGGAGTTGCAACTTCATTACTCATTGACTTGGATTTGAAACCTTATTCTATTCCCTGTGTCCATCTGGGGGCCAAGGTAAGCATATACTTGCTAAAATGAACAGCTACTTTGGTCTAGTGGTTAAGGCATCAAGCTAGAAGCTGGGAAACTGTGGGTTCCAGTCCCGCCTTAGGCATGAAAACTGGGTGATCTTGGGCTAGTAACTTTCACTCAGCCCAACATACCTCACAGGTTGTTGCTGTGGGGAAAATAGGAGATGGAAGGACTATTATATATTTTCACCATCTTGAGTTGATTATAAAAAATAATAAAGACAGGATATAAACAAATAAGCAATAAATAAATTGCTATTGCCCTTGTGATCAGTAGGAGTTTCAGGGTGCTGAAAAGACAGTAAAATTGAAGCCATACTTCCAGTGCTGGCTATTTCTCATATACATATTCCTCATTAAAATACCTATGTGGTTCTGTTGCAGATTTTATATCAGTTAACTTTCTGGTTATTGTTGAAGCACTATGTGATGCAAAGGCAGAAGCAAAAAGAGGAGGGATTTCTCAAAGAAGTGATAGTACATCAAACTGGTAAGAACATGTGAATATTGGATAAAGTTACCCTGATCCTTCACCCCTCTCTTGAAAATGGATTTTAAAAGTCTTCATTCAGTCCAGGAATGATGGCAGAGAAACTAATTTAGGAAATAGTCCTAAATTACACAAAGACAGATCGTATCTAATGGTTAGGGAAGAAAACCTACTTCATTGTAGGAGCAGTTTGAGAATAGAATCTATTTAGGGGTTTTCTAAGATATATTCAGGTTGAATCTGGGTAGCCATGAATCATGAATTCTTTAATTTGAATTTTTTTAGTAACCCTAGAGAAGTGTTTGTCAACATTGACAACTTGCTGGCTGTAGAATTCTGAGAGTTCGCCCACTCATCTTGAAGTTGAAAACTTGAGAAACACTGTTAAGGCTTATAAACTATGTTTTTCTATTGGCTTTGGACTTGCTTCATCACATCTCGTGGAAGGTAGCGTACTTCAGTCTCTACTACAACTTCACTGCAACTTCAGTATGTCAGGAAAGAAATACAGACAAACACTTTAGTGAACTTAATCCTAATCTTTCTACTCTATTTCACAGCCTTCATAAAAAAAAAAAAGATTGATTTCCCTGTTTAAGAATCAGTGAGTTGAGCACCAGACTTTGCTCCCCGCCACACCTGCTCCCAATTTCTGGGTTCAAGAAATCCATTATTCTCTCCACTATCTCCTCACACTGAAAACATATATGTGTGTTTGCCCCCGGATGCATGGTAGCCATTTTTTTTCTTTCTATTGACTCAGGTCAAAATTATTTTTATTATTATGGAAGCCAGGGACACTCAGGGCTGGTGGTAGCTGTGTTTCAGTCTCATTTTTTGTACTCTTCTATTGGTGAGTGAGAGGGAAAACAAGTTGACTCATGTGGTTTGGAACCACTAGGCATGGGGGTGATTGATGCTGTATTCAAACTGGTTGGAAAGGGAGTGAAAACTGTACAGTCTGAGAATGCATGATTCTATTAGAATGAACGATGAGAAAATGCATTGTTGGGGAGGAGATGGATGCTACATACATTATGCTTTGTATACATAGAAATGTTCAATGAAGTATAGGCATTAGATGTAGAATATTTCATTCTTAAGAAAAAAAAGAGGGGACATGTATGCATGTATAGGTAGCATTACAATGGAAGTGGAGGGAAAGTGAGTATTCTGTGCTTATTCCAAGCTCAGTCTTATCTAGAGCTGTTCAGTAGGAAATCCTGTGGAATCCAATGAGACTTGCTGCTAAATAAGGGTACTCTGGATTGTAATATTGTACCATAAATAGTTAGTCAAATGCGATAACATTTATCCTAAAAAAACCATTCTGGTCCATTAAATATTGATGATGCTCCTGATTGAATATACACTCCTGTTGCAGAAATGGACACATCGCAAAATCTGTTTGTGGAAATATTTGGTTCTATACTTAAGAGGATCCTAATAAAATACTGGATTTACTTCTGTTCCATCATGTTCTTTGTTGTCAGCTTCGATGGCAAAGTGGTCCTGTATAAAATTCTTTACGTTATCCTTTTTTTGTTCTGTGTGGCTTTATATCAGGTAAGCAGATCTGGAATTTGAGACTTCTACTTGATTCCTAACTTCTGAAGGGAAAAGAAAGCACTGCTAAATCAAATCAGTTAGTTTGCAGTTCTTTTGATGCTTTATCTTTGAAATTTTAATCTTTTTCTATTTCTACATTAATTTGCAATTTGCGTAGAAGTTTGTAGAAAAATACATTTCCATGTACTTGTATATTTTCCCCAAAGGCTTATAACTCTCTATAATCTTATGTCACATTCCAGATGCTATTGTGTTTGCAAAAGTGCCTTAGAAGTTTCAAAGTGCCAACATTAAAGATATTTTTAAATTAGTTCATTCCTTGGCTTCAGGAATGCATGCATCTGATAAATTCACATTAAATTATAATTAAAAAATCCCCTTATTATTTACTGTATAGCCTAGTCATGTTATTTTAATTCACATATGGGAGAAACTGGCTATGCCTCTAAAAGCAATTATGATTACTGAGAGTTTTCTTTTTTAAAATTTGTGAGGGTTGCACAAGAAGTTGAAATTTCTCAAGAAAGAAAATAATTGCAGACACACAACATTTATCTATATACACATTTTGATAACAATATAAAGACAAATGGACTTTGAAAACTCTGTAGCTCACTTTGATTTGTTGTGACTCTATATACTATAAGCCTTCAGTAGGTTATTTGATTATAATCAATACTAAAACTACAAAATTAAATTTATTGGTTCCAGTTTCATTACGAAGGATGGCGACGAGTCCTGAAGGGATTTTGGCTGATAAGTGTCTCCTATTCAATGATAGTCCTCATTGCTTTATATACTTACCAGTTTGAGATGGTTTCTGCATTTTTCCTAAAAACTTTGGAAATATCAGAGGAAAGGTAAGAACTTTCATTTAAGATTCTATATTGCTATTGTATCTTGAGATTTTATCCCCCAAATTCTATTGTATAGAAGCAAATAAAGAATTTGCTGCTGGTATTAAAATATAGATGCCAATACTAGATGAAGTCAACTACATCTCAAATCTTCATGGCACACACATATAGATGTTAGTACAAGTTGTTTTGTTTAATAAGCACTTGTTAAGTGATCATTCAAATGGCCCTGAATGAGGGTGACTTACAAGGAGTCTTCAAAGTACCAGTAATTGAAATGTACTTACATCACATGATTATGATACAGGTGTTTTATAAACAGCCTGCAATTACAATGTTGCAGCACCTCGCCATTTGCGACCTACACAACCAAAGGCAATGGCCATCATGCTTAAAATGGCATGGAATGCTTAAGTGTAGGAACTGGAAGTGCTGGATTTGAACTGCCAGGCCCAATTCCCATTTTATAGTAATATAGAAGTGGAGGTGGGTTTTTTTTGTCAACTTCTCAGTCTGATACGCAGCTCTGATATGCCTTGTGGGAGTTAGATTTAAGATGTAATAAATTACTGGGAAAAGGCTATATAAGTGATGGAACTGAGCCAAAGCAAAGCACAGATATATTTATTATTAGATTGTTTTTTATCCCACCTTTATTACTTTATAAATACTCATGCTGGTGAACATATCTAATACTCCTTTCTCCTCCTATTTTCCCCACAACAATAACCCTATGAGGTGAGGTGAGGTGAGAGAGAAAGAATGACTGACCCAAGATCACTTAACTGGCTTTCGTGCCTAAGGCAGAACTAGAATTCATGGTCTTCTGGTTTCTAGGTTAGCACCTTAACCACTACACCAAACTGGATTTCTTAGATATATGCATGTATGGTGGGCTCTGTTAGGTTATACAAAGTGTCAGGTAAGAATTGCTTACTGAGATTAATAATATGGCTATGGGAAATTTTAGCTAAAGTCCCAAGATGTTTTTTGCTGTTATTTAGTGAAGCAATTCAAAGAGCTAAAAATAAAGTAACTGGTCAATTCATGATTATTACAGCAAAGCTGGTTGTATCACAACATTGGAAAAACCCAGAAGCTCCATTACTAGACATCTGGTATGAAAAATTATGGAAAAATGTTGGTAATGGAAAAATTGACATTTAGAAGATGGAAAGTGTTGGAATGTATCAGAAAAGTTACTTTTGTTTCAGTTGGAGGAAAGTAATCCTTCATGGGTTCAACCCATGAACACATTGTCCCATGAGATGACATTTCTTCTTCTTTAGGGAAAAGTGTTTTTTAGAGAGCTGTATCAGATTATTACATATAAGTCCTATCAAAGTTTTTCCGTGCAAAGACCTATGAGCTACACATTTAGAATATTATTTACAGAAATAACTTTCCACTATTTACCTGTTAAGTACAGAGCTGTAGACAGGAATATTTAAAAACGAGCTAGGTTGAGGCGTGATGGGTAGTCAAGGTGGCCACCGGTGTGCAGGTTCACACGTCTATTGTGCTGAAATATGTTTACCTGAGGAAAGGATAGAGAATGCCCCTTTTCTCTGAATAACTGGCTAGGTTCATCATTCTTTTAAATTAATAATTATACATATATTGACTTATGTTTAAGTACCTGTAATGTGAAATAATTCTTTTCCTCCTTTTCATTAGCTGACTTTGCATATATTTTTGTCTTTTCATTTGGCAGATTAAAAGATTTGGGCCTTGAGCAGTTCAGCATAAGGGAACTTTTTACAAAGATTCTATTACCCTGTGCCTTTCTTCTTGTTTGTATTGTTCAACTGCATTATTTCCATAAAGATTTCCTGAATATCACAGATCTGACCAATATTTCTGTGAATCCATCTTCTTCATCTGGCAGGTATTATGTGCAGACAACTGTATTTAATGTATGCTCCATAAGAAATGGAGAAAGGAAGAGCTAAAGAGAAGGAAAAAGAAAGAAAAGAGAGAGAGAGAAGGAGAAAGAGACACAGAGAGAAACTCCTCTTTAGAAATAAATATGTTTTAAGTATATGTGTTCTTAGTAATGAATGTATGTATACACACATCTTCCCTTTTGAATGGCTTATTGGGTCACGGAGCTAGTAACCCCTAGTTACTATTCTTTTGTTCTACAGAGATGTCAAGATAGATGATTTTGGCTTCATATTTCCTGTATTTTATATTGAAAGTTAATTGCTCAGGGACAGAATTTCTTGCAAATAAATAGTCCCAAAGTTAGTCCTCAGTATAATTAGATAGCAATAGCAATAGCAATAGCACTTATATGCTGCTTTATATGCTGCTTTATAGTGTTTTACATCATTCTCTAAGCAGTTTACAGAGTCAGCATATTGCTCTTGACAATCAGGGTCCTATTTTACGAACTTCAGAAGGATGGAAGGCTGAGTCAATCTTGAGCCAGTGAGGATCAAACTCTTGGCAGTGAACTGAATTAGCCTGCAATACTGCATTCTAACCACTGAGCCACCATGGCTCCTAGATCTCCTTCATTCTTTAAGAGATGTCACTGGGTTGTTAAAATGGCACTGATATGGGTTGGCCCAAAATTTGAGATCCAGTGTAGTGGTTAAAGTGTTAAATTTGGAATGGGGAAACCCTGCTTCTACTCCACCCCCATGGACATTCAGGTCATAACTTTAGGACATTCGTTTTATCTCAATCCAACCTAACTCATAGGTGGTAGTTATGGGGAAATAAGTACATGTCAAATAAAAATACTAAATAATTCTCATCTATCTCTTCCTCTTTTTGATATGGCTCCTCCTTGGTTATTTATCTGGCTTCAATACACTCTCCCACCTGGTTTTTATTCTCCTGATCCTATTTAGGGTTTTGCTTAAATGTATAATTGCTTGAAAATGAAAGGTGTTAGGACCATGCACACTGTCTCCAACCTCGGTGTCTTCTCATATTATTCATTCTCTGGAATATAAAGTTCTACTCATATTCAGCAAAATGTTATCACTATTTTCTGTCCCACCATAAATCTGGCTTTCTTAGAGTACATGACTGTGAAGACAAGCAGCACCTGCAATGCAACTATCTTAACTTTTATTATTCTTCATTTCTAATTGGTTGTCAGAACTCCTGTGTGAAGTAATTGGTTTTTATTACATCAGCTTTTCTCCAGCTTGCTTCTTTCTCTGGGCCTATTGTGCTACATTTCCTAAAGTTTTCAGAATGATGAGAGTTTATAGCCAAATTATTTGTTAATCTACCTGGGAAGTTAAGAGTCAAGTTGGGTCTCCTTCAAACCTAGCTGGTCTGCATTATTTATATGAATATATGTCTGCAATTTTCCTGGTATGATAATGAAATGGTTTACCAATGTCTTCTAGATTTTTTTTTAACTTGCAGTCTGGCTCACAAACTTGGAAAGTCTCCCATTTTGAGTGTTTCCATCCACAAATTAGCTTCCTAGACCAATCGAGGTTTATCAGATGCTGCTGTCTATTGAGGCAGATTATCAAATATGGGAGGGCTATAGAATATGGAAAGTAAAACGAGGAGAATTTCCTTTTTAAGGGATAAAATATCTTTGTTACTATAATACTGGCTTTCAGTAATTGGAATTGAATAGGTGCTGAGATTTATGTTCTGTTTCTCCCCAGTGACAAGCAAATGGAAATTCTTGTGTGTCTTCTGGCTAATAAGTGAGTTGGCTTTATCTCTTGAAACTTTCTCTTGCAAATAACATTGTCTAGAAAAAAAGTACAACTTCATGTAGCACGTTTTTATGTTCCATATGCAACTTCTTGTATTCAGTAAGACAGTGTAAAACATGGTCAATAAATAAATAAGAAAATAAATGTTCCCAGGTAGATCTGAGTTTGTGATATTAACTCTTGTTTGCATTGTCTGTCATTTATGTCTCTGACCCCCATAGGCAGGCTTCTACTTTAGTCATGCATGCTTAACAGATACTAGCTATGCAAATCTTTTTTAAAAAAAAAATCCACAAGGATGTGCATACATATGTATGAAGAGTCAGCCTGAAGCAGCCTTTGAGGCAGCTGTGTAAGACTGAAAAAAGATGCAGCTACTTTAATGCTTTGAAGAGGTGCTTTATACATGCACTCCTTTGTGCTGTGAAACACTTTTGTTGAAGGATTGGCACACCCTTGCCAGTTATTAAACAAGCAGAAAGCTAGCCAAAGTTAAGAGATTATTAACTTGCTTTCTATAGTTAAAACCCAGATAAAATGAAATATTGCTAAAAGTATGAAATCACAGTCAGCAATTATTGCTCACGGAAATGTCCTCTTCCAGGAAGGGATGCATTTCTGAATATAGTTAGGGTGCTGAGTGTTGCAATCATACATAGATTTCCTTGGAGTAAGTTAGCTTGAATCCAAACACTCTTTCTTCTAAGTATATGTGTAAATACTTGCACTATAAGATCCTGCTAAAGGAATTGTGGCTTATTGAAAGGTCACTGATGCCCTTAACTGGCATTTCCAGTTAGATGCTTCTGGTAGCAGTTGGGAAAGACTTTGTCTAAAATCCAAATCTGGGAAATTTCTGAACTGGCAATGTCACTTGTTTTTTAATCTTTTTAGGATTAAAGAAACACTCCAAAAACTGCAAAGTAGATGAGATTGAAATGCATAGAATATTAAATGTTTGAATCTGCTTAACCTTTGAAGCCTATGCAGGTCAGGTGGGCAGATTTTACAGAAAAAAGTTATCTAGACTCTGATCCACTCAATATTATAAAAGAAGCGCCTTGAATTGCGCTAGAAAGTATACAATTAATCAGTGCATTACTTGTAGCAACAGAGTAACACAGTATCAAGAATGACCAGGAAGCATATGGGTCATTTCAATTTAGACTAAGTTTTTGGTTGGTCTTTAAGATAGTCTTATGGAGAATGAATTTATAAAACTGATATACAACCTGACTCCCAGAAACTCTAGGTATTTTAACATTTAATTTTTTAAAAAAAAATTAGACAAAAATATAAGAAACTGCAAGAAAAAAATGGGAACAAGAAAAAGGAAAAGGATTCACAGAGGGCTGAGTGAAAAGCCATGTCTTCAAGGCCTTTCTAAATACCAGAAGAGTCAAGGCCATTTGAATCTAAGGGGGAACCTTATTACAGAGGGCTGAGGCTGCAACAGAGAAGTCCAATGTCCTGAAAGTTGTGTTATTTAATCAGTAGATCCTGGAGCATGCCAGCTCTGCCAGATTGGATCAGCTGGGCAGATAAATGGGAGATAGGTGGTTCCTTAAGCATCCTGGCCCTATATCATGAAGGGCTTTATAGGTAGTGACCAGCATGCCCATCACTGCCTGTGCTGCTGCATTCTGAACTACCGGTAGTTGAAGATTCTGGGTGGTTTTTGAGGGAAGTGCCATGTAGAATGCAAGTCTAACATTCTTTTTCTTTTGGTTTTCTTAAAATATTCCTGGAAAATATGTACTTGTCAGAGTTTATTGTCTCCCTCATTATCTGTAATACATCACTAGATGAGCAGCATGTAAATTTGGTAAATAAATAAACAATAAAGAAAAATAACTTTTAAAAATTACCTGAATGACCTAAGACCGTGATGGCAAACCTATGCCACGTGTGCCAGAGGTGGCACACAGAGCCTTCTCGGTTTCCATCCAGCTGGTCTTCGCAGGCACTGGAGCACCAGAAAATGGCCTGAAAACATCCCCAAAACCGGCCTGAAAATGACCTGAAAAACAGCCTGAAAACAGCCCAAAAAATGGCCTGAAAATGGCCAAAAACAGGCATGTGCATGCCGGCCAGCTGGTCTTCAAGTTTCCAGCACTCCGGCACGCATACATGCACTCACGTTTTGACATGGGCACTCAGTGCCGAAAAGGTTCACCATCACTGACCCAATATGTATCTTGCTTCATTAGTCATGCAATGGCTAGACTGGTTAACTATTCTAATGTATTTTAAACAGGCTGGCTCCTGAGCCATTACAACAGTCTTTTCCAGATGGACTGGAGAAGTCTGAGAATACTACAGAAAATGGTAAGGTGGAAAAGGGAACTCTTCTATTGAAAATATAGAAAGTAGTGGTTTGCTTTATTCTAATAAATCTGGCATTCATTTTGTAAATGTAATATTTGTCTCCCAATCCCAGTATAAAACAACATGGCAAGGGGGGATTGCTGTTTTTAGGTTTGAGGAACAAAATTCATCAGTGGGATGTACCAAGAGTCTTGGTGGCGCAGCAGACTAAAGTGCTGTTAACTAGCACCAGCTGCCTGCAATTACTGCAAGTTCAAATCTCACCAGGCTCAAGGTTGACTCAGCCTTCCATCCTTTCGAGGTAGGTAAAATGAGGACCCAGATTGTGGGGGCAATAAGCTGATTTTGTATTTTAAAAAAAAGAACACCGCTTGGGGGGGTGGGCAAAAGCCCTACTAAGCAGGTATATACAAAAGTATGACGGCTATTGCTTAATGCATTGTAAGCCGCCCTGAGTCTCCGGAGAAGGGCGGCATATAAATCGAACCAATAAAACCTCCCCACAGATGAATTTTTGGCAGTAGGTGCACATCACAGCATCACACTTTGAATCAATATTTCTCAAACTTGGCAACTTTAAGGTATGTGGATTTCAATTCCCAGAATTCCCTAACAAGCCAAGGTTGAATGAATTCATATGCAAATTCAGGCCAGTTTAATAGTCATACTTCTATTCACATAATTGCAAATTTTAAAAAGAATTACCAGTATTTTCACCAAAACTAATATTTTTTTGGTGGTCACAGCAGTAGTTCTATTATATTTCTCTCTGCCATATTATTTGTTTATCTCTTCATTGAGAAACTTTTAAAGTGAAAACTTTTGGGAAAATCCCAGGTCCTTTTTTATTCTGCTTATTTTATTTTATTTTAATCAATTACTTTTCTTTTTAGTGGTAAAGGGGAATAAATGGGCAGAAGAAGTGGACAAGTTGGCACCTTGTCTTCTGAAGATCATAGCAATGTCTCAGGATATGCAGATTTTTGCATGGAGATTTCTGGAGCTGCACATCCTTAAGATTGTGTCCATTTGCACTATCTGGATCACACTTCAAGAGGTTAGTAAATAACTATCTCATCTGGGAAATAGTCCAAAGGGAAAAACCAGGAATTAAGATAGGAATTCAGTCAAGAAAGCAGAACAATATAAATCTGGATATAAAAGAACACTCCTTTTCTTCATGAAGTTGATTTGTTAATATTTAATACAGAATTGTATTATTAATAAATTAATAATCCAGAATGTTATTTAGATATGTTATGGGTTCTTCAAGTTACAAAGACTCTAAAGTTTAGTTGTGATTATAAATATAGTGTGTTTCTTCATAAACATCTTGATCTTTATATTGTGTATTGTGCCTAGTTACATATGCATGAAAAATCAAACTACTATTACTATGGCTAAGTTTGAGGGTAAAGTTTCCAACCTGGATTAGATCATCTGCTTCACTTGATCAAGACTGAAGCACAAGACTAAAGCACAATTTGTTTGCAAATATGATTCCGTGTTGCTTTTTACTTTCTTTGCTTGTCTCCAATTTTCTGTAGGTGTGTTTGATGAACTACGTTTTCTTTATTGTGTGGACATTTGCTATTCCTTATTCCAAATTTCGGCCCTATGCCTCAAGAATCTGTACATTTTGGTCTTGTTTGATGGTCATCTGTAAAATGTTATATCAGCTGAAATTTATCAAGCCCTGGAATTATTCCTCAAACTGCACTCAGGTCAGTGTGCTAATGGGCTGAAGATCCAAATTTCTTTCTTAATCAGATACAGAACGTTTTGCACATTCCTGATGATTAACTTAACCTTCTACAATTTGATATCGTCAAGATATTTTGGAATTGCAACCCCAAAATTTCCAGGTGGTGTGACTTACAGATAGTATAGATTAGAAGTGGGAAGGTTTGAAGAAAATAAATAAATGAGAGTGTATTTTTCTGAAATAAAATCCCCACCTTTTTTTCCTTTGAGGATTTTTTTGCCTGTTCTTTTTCTTTAAAAATGAAAACAAGAAGTACAATTGTATACTGTAGAGTCATTTGGCCAATGAGCTACCATATAAATTAAACATGAAGTAGTATAATTTTGAAAACAGAAGTGTTTGGCTAATAGGATGCCATATAAATTGAATGAATGAAGAATGAATGAATGAGTGAGTGAGTGAGTGAATAAAGTGTCCATCTCTTCAGGAACTGTATTTGAATATGACTTACCATTCTATCAATGTTGATGAGTTTTTGGAGAAATCATCTTTGTACATGACACCAATTGACCCAGCACTCTGGATTGGAGGACTGATGAAGTGCAGTGACAATATTTTTCTTTATCTAAAGGTAGGACTCTATTTAGCCACTAATATTATGAGAGAGAATATTACAAAATGTATCTTTTTTCTTATAAGACAGAGATTGTGAGATTAGTTCTTCTAATGGGAAAACTGATGTATGTCTAATAATATTATCAGATAAACTTTGTAATATCACTTTAAAATTAGGAACAAGACTGATTCAAGACATTTTGCTATTTCAAATGGGTGGTCTGTTAGATGTTCAGAAGCAGACCTAAATCCTACTTTAGCACTAGTACTTGATTTCCATTCATTCACCATTAAGGAGGATCATAGGTCCTCCTTATTCTCTTTCTCTTCCATCAAAAGAGAATGATTCATGAATAATGGCCATCATAAACAAGTACCGTATTTTTCGGAGTATAAGATGCAGCTTAGTTTTTGGGGAGGAAAATAGGGGGAAAAAAATCTGCCTACCAGGTTTTCATCTGGCTAGCATTCTTAGTCTGGTTAGCTTCAGCACATTAGTTTCCTGGTTTTAAGCGTGCACACACTTTTTTTATCTCCTGTTTGGGGATAAAAAATAGTTTCTAAAGCACAGCTGAAAGGGAGCAGCAATGAGAAAAGCAGGCAAAGCACTGAAATTGCTTCACTTGTTAGCACCTTGTTAGGGCTGAAAAAAAACTTCTAAAACACAGCTGAGAGTTGGACAGAGCAGGAAAAGCCCATGGAAGATGCTTCACTCGCTAGTGCCTCATTAGGGCTGAAAAAAGCTTAGAAAAAGCTACATTCAGAGTATAAGATGCACCCACATTTTCAGCCTCTTTTCGGGGGGGGGAGTGCATCTTATACTCTGAAAAATATGGGTATATATCGGTAGTTGTTTCAGTAGGGTGAGCTTTGATATGTAGGGTACTTGGGGAACTGAACATTCTTATGAAGGATGTATTTTCCTATATTTCTTAGAACCATCTTACCATCATGATTCTAATGGCTTTAGAAGCAACAGTGTATCGCCACCAATATTTTTACAGGACTCAGAACCAACTATTGCCACCTGTCACAGGTAGCCTTTTTAATAATATTGCCCGGGAGAACTTGGATGAAGGGCTACTCAACTGCATCAAATACTTTCTCAACTATAGTTTTTACAAATTTGGACTGGAGGTGAGAAAATGTTGGTAAGAAAGGACCATAACTTCTTGGTATTGGGGAATGAGACAGGCAGCTTAGAAGACAAAAGATGCTTGGTTTCAAGTAAGAAATAATCTGATGTGGCACTAGAGAGCCAAGTGCTGTGGCAAGATGAAGCTTTCTGACATCTAGTTCACAATATGGACTACCTCACTTTGTAGTTTTGGGAATTCAGAGAGAAATCCATCTGTCTTCCCTACAAATATGTAGATAAGAGACCATACTCTTTCTGTCCAATGTTTTCAAATGTTTTGAGACATTTGAATTGATATCCATAATTCTTCAGCCATAGTAGATTACAAAAAATTCTCCTCTGAGCATGTTAATTGGGGAATCTGGAAGTTGTAGTCATAACAGACCTCAAAGTTACTGGATTGGGAAATACTAGATTCATCTATATTAGATTGTACAGATAGTGAATTGCTGTCATTGGTATATCAAAGCTGCACTTTCCCCTGCTTGTATATAATTATATACATTTAACGAAGTACTGTGGGTTTATCTGGGTATAGAAAGCAAAACACAAATTAATAGCCATAAATGCCCATAGTGAACCATTGATTTGCTTAACAACCACAGTGTTTCCTTAACAACCATCACAAGAAATATTGTGATGTACCAGTTATATAATCATCACAATATATGATCACAATGGGCAGACTCATTATATGTAGAGTATTACCTGTATGTGATTGCAGATTCAGTTCTTGAGCTCAGTGTTAAGTCCCTTCAGCCTGGAGTCATCGTGATGTTAGCTCAGCTGCCTCTTCTTCTTTTTTCAGATATGCTTTATGGCGGCAGTTAATGTGATTGGGCAACGCATGGACCTCTATGCACTTATCCATGCAAGTTGGCTGACTTACCTGTTGAGCTACCGTCAGAGGAAAGCAATAGCCCAAGTCTGGCCCAAATACTGTTTCTTCCTTGCCAGCATTGTGGCCTTTCAGTATTTGCTTTGTATTGGTCTCCCACCTGCTTTGTGCCAAGGTGAATGCAGCACTGTGTGGGGAAGCAGAGATATGTCATGTGGAGGGTAATAGCAATAATTGAGCAGAGGGTTGGCTTTGCCACTAGTGTTCAGCAGCTCCCTTTGCATCAGACTTGTCTGGACAGCAAATTTGTAAATTAGTTCAAGAAGTTTTGTGTAATGCAGTTGATCTCTTTGATGACAGATTATCCATGGAGAAGTTCCCACTGGTTGTTCCCTTCAAATCTGATTAAGTGGCTTTATCTGCCTGATTTTGCTGAAAGACCTAATACTAATTTTCTCCTGTGTAAGTATAATTTGGAAAGGGTTTGCTTAATAAGGAAATGTAACTTATTTGTAGACCAACATAACTCTGGACTGTGTCTTGCAGGTAACAGTGATAATGACATGACATACCTAAGGTCCTCCCAGAATTGCTTGATGAGATGGATGGCAATAGAAAACTAATATATAAATTACAGCTAAATACTCTATACAAATTACAGTTGGGGAAAATGTGGACAAAATGGGCAATGTTACCTACCTCAGTATTATCTATATGTAGAATAGGCAGTAAGGTGCACTTCATATCGGAAAGATTACTATATTGACAATCCAAGGAATATGAGTGTCTCAGTCTAAAGTATTTGTGCAGCATTAAATATCTATTCCTGATTTATATGCCCATAATTTTTTAAGATTTCAGACATGGGATTTTTCTTGTCCAATCTGTATAAAGATCCTGTTCTTTTCCAGCAAGCAATGACTTTTGTCCTTTTAATTTAGGTTGCATATATGGCTATGAACTTGCTCTTCATGTTCTGCAGCTCTTGCAGATTCCTCTAAAGCCTTCTTCATCTTACTTTTATCTGGTTACCCTTGACTGCAGTCTGCCAAGAAACAGCAGCACAATTTCTTACTATTAAAAATAAAATAGTCACAGATTAAATCAAATATATGTATCCCATTTGATCTTGCAATAAAAATAGTATTTTATTTTTTTAAAGACTTAGCAAACACCCTGCTAAAGGAATTTTCCCACTTCCAACTGAATGTGCCCACTCTGGAGATCCTATTCCGTAATGACAATTCTTTGCTAAATCCTTTTCATTTTTAAAAAAATAATCTGTTTCCAAAAGGTTGCCCTCCCTACAGTTCACCTTAACAAAAATCCGAATATAGGTGCAGTATTGTGGCAAAAAATAGGAAAAGGTATTTGATAATGAGTTACCCTACAAATATCACTGTATATTGAATTCCATGCAGAATACTTATCTTCTAGCTTTTTAGTGCATCAATTTGTTTATTTCTTCTCAGCTAGTGAATCTTTGTAAAATTAGTTTTGCTTCTTCTGGCTGACTTGTACAAGTCAAGCAGCTGGTAGCAGTGAAAACAGCAGAGCTGCCTTTAAAATTCATTGTTGCAGGTTTGCTGCACTGCTGCATTGTTTTTTAGTGTTACGGAACATGGCCCTTTCTGTAATTGATAGCAAGATGACATTTTTATATGACTCTTTATTTATACACACAGATGCTAAAAGTCATCTCGGAGAAACATGTTATGGTAAGAAGGTAAAGTTGAAACCATCTTCCAGATTTTTTTAAAAATATCTTTCTTTCCTTATGGCAGATGATTTCCTTCTTCTGCTTTTTGCTTCCTTCCAATGGCAAGTTTTTGAAGATGAGGATCAGCCTGTAGTCAGGCTGCAAGCTGGAGATAACTCAGAGATTAATCAAGATTTGGGCCCAGCAGGTCTCAGTGAATTCAGTCGGGTACCAAACTTTATCCATTGCAGGTAAGAAATAAAGGAAAACATGTTTATGTTTGGGTTTTCTCCAGAAGCAGACCAACTTCACGATATACTGTCCTCTAGATATATAGGATTAAAGCTCTCATAATACCTAGCTGGTACAACTATTGAAATCTGGGACTGCTTCTTAATATAATGTGGAATTTTTTCAGGTACTGATAGCAGCTGTGATTTCCAAATTCTCCACCCCCAACAGCAGTGCCAGCTCAAGGTATATGGTGCCACACATTAAATGATGGTGCCACCACCTGCTAATGCACAGGTTTTCATTTTTAGAATAATTTGTAAGAAATGGCATCATTGGTAGCTCCTAGAGACCTTATGTCAATGTCTACTTGGCCTTAGCCTGACTCTACCCAAAAGGCCATAGTTATAAAAAAAATGGCTTTATACAGTGGGTGAATTCAGTCAGCACATTATGTAGAACCTATAGCCAATTCTGTCTTTGATTCCCTTGTTACTATGCAATCTAGTTTCTATTAATTCTATTCTCATGATTTTCTTCTGAACAGATCTTATTTGGATCTGATGAAAGTGCTTATATTCAAGTACTTTTTCTGGATTGCCCTTTGCCTAATTTGTGTGACTGCAACAGCCAGGATCAACATCTTCTGTGTGGGCTACTTTGTTGCCTGCTTCTACTTTATGCACTTTGGACAAAGCCTTCATCTGAAGCCCCTCAGAGACATTCTTAGACCATGGGACTACGTGATTGCTTACACTACTTTGGTTATAACAGTAAAGAATCTTCTTGCTGTATGTAGTGGGTTAATGTTTGTGATCAGCTGGGTGAGACTGGGCAAAAGTATTTATTGTAAACTGCCTCAGAAAAAGAGCTATTCTACATTTATTTCTAATGGTTCTTTAATTGGATGGAAGAAGATTTGTTTATTTGTTTTGAAATGGTCATTCAAAATAAAAAACAGTGCTGTGAATTTCTCATGTTTTTGCTCTTTTTAGATATGAAGTAGATATGGGGGTCCAATTATTTTGGCATATAAATTGATTTTCAGAGATCTGCAACCTCCATAGATTCTTATATTTAAATCTTAAAGGAATTTGATTTGATCCCAAGGCATTTTCTTAAGGAATTTTTCACATTGGGTATCTTTGAAATTGAGACGTTAGGGTGGCTAAGAAAACTTGAGAATGGTGGAAAGTTATGCAGCAGAAACAACAGATAGCAATTCCAAAATTAACTAGGCTTCAAAATACCAAGGAGAGAAATTTAAAGGAAATTCTCAAGCATTCTAAGAATAGAATAAGGTAGAAAATAAGAAGTTTGAGTTTCTTTTTAGTGTGAGAAATGTCAATATTTTGGCATAGAACATTGTTATTTTCATTGGGAAATAAGACACTGCTCATAATTCCTAAACGGATGCAGCACAACTGGTTGCAGAAGTTGGGATTATGCAGCTTCCAACATGCTTTTTCAAAATCTAAAAGAGAAATTCATGATAGGTGGTTATTCCTGATAACTGATAAAAGATCTGGAGCCCTAATCCCTGCTAAATTATTCTTTTTCTTCCATTCTTTTTTTCTACAGGTTGGAGCATGTGCATACCTTAATAAATTACAAATAAATTACTGTTGGCTAATTCAGACATTTGCTATGTATTGCACAATACCAGGATATGAAATAGGTAAGTGGGAAGCAATTCCATAGAAAGAGAGTCTTTATATTATAAGGCATCCCAAATGTTCTTTAAAGAAAATTATAGATCTTTACTTCCTGAGTTTGTGTGTGTTAAACTGTAAGACTAGGAGTGGAGAGATTCAAGTTCTAGTCCTCCTTTGGGCAGAAAAGCCAAATGAGTGGGGTATTTCCCTCAGCCTGGGACTAGAAAGTCAAAATAATCTATCTACTGACCTGCACTGGACCTGGATGGTAGATTATGGTCCTTCAGTGTAGTGATCTTCATTCTACAATACACTGGAGATACAAAGCAACCACTTCACAAATGCATGGCACAATTTAGGAGAAAAAAAACATCAGGACAGAATTCAACAGTCCATCTGCATTTGAGAGACAAAGACCACTCTTTTGAAGACAGCAAAGTCCACATTCTGGACAAAAAGGACCACTGGTTTGAAAGAGGGGTCAAAGAGGCCATCTACATTAAAATTGAACAGCCCTCTCTCAACAGAGAAGATGTGAAGTTTCCGAAAGATGCCCTAATTAATTCATGAGCCATGAGCCAAACTTCAAGAGAAATACAGTCATTTATTAGGAGCACCATTTCAGCAATATTCGCATGCAGTTAGAACTAATCCCACGTAGATTTACGTTCCCCTATGACCCTGTCTCTCCCCTCCTCCCTGGCCATGTCATAAATCACATTCTCCAGTTAACCACTTTGCCTGGCTGTGAAACCCAACATCCTTCTTCTGATTGCGGTAAGAAAGCATCTATGGAATGCAGCTTCAGTTATGGAAATCAATCAGCTCTATCAGTTCTCCCTCCCTCTTGCTCATGGCAACTTGAAAGCTTTGCAAGTTGACATAAGGAGGAATACGACACCACCTATCACAGCGATGGCTAACTTTTTTCTCATTACGTGCTAAAAGTGCATACATGCGTGCATGCAACAGCACACGTGCGTGCCAGCACCCATAATGCAATGCGGCCCCCTGTGCATGCACGCATGCCCCCCCCCCCCCCCCACGCATGCGCACACGACCCCCCTGCCCCCCGTTTTTGGCCTAGCAGGCTTATTTTTTCTTTCTCTAATCTTCTCACTTGTATGTGTATATGTCACCACAGGCATCCATGTATATATATGGGTAAGTACCACAAGTAACTGAAAAGAATATAAAAAGTTGCATTTGGGGAAGAAGCTTAATAGTAGAATGGTTGATTTCCATGCAAAAGATCTTAAACTCAATTGCTTCTGAGTTCTTGGTAAAACCTTAAAAAGCAGTGGCCAGTCACAGTAGGTAATGTGAGGGCAGCCAGACAAGAACTCTTATCAGATAATTATTCTGAAAGTAGTTGCCTGTACTCATTCATCTGTTGGGCTCTTTCAAGAGTTGCAGATTGATACAAATGGCTGGAAACTTCACTGGTACATTAAATTATGAGAGCCTTCATAACTAGTAATGTAGATCTGCTATACAAGATTCAACTGATTTTTATAAATATGTTCTATAGATTCAGGAGATTCATGTTGCCTAAGCAGGAAAGCAAGTTCTTGAACTCAGATCAAAAAGATTCTGTAGCTAATCATGAAAAGCTAATGAATGTTGGGAGCCTACCAAGGATGAATAAGAGACTACCAAGAACTCCCAAGTCTTTAGAGTAGATTGGAAATTGAAAAATATATCCTGAAAGAAAACAATAGTAAACCTTTTCTGTATCATTACCAAGAAAATAGCAACTTTATGTTTATCAGTAATAAAGCTTAACTAAAAGGACACTGTCCCTTGAATAAAACGTATGGAAGATGATAGCTTGGATTATTTCTGTGCAAAAATATCTTCTCTGTTGAGGGTTAGAGTTACTTAACAATAGGACACATTTTAAGTTTTGTGGAATTTTATCCATAGAATGTGATAGAGAAGCCGTAATGTATTTATTTGTTTTATTTTGTGGATAAAATAAATAAATAAAAGAGTAAACATAGTTTGTAACTTGTTTTCTTTTGAAGAACTAAATTTATCCTTGCTAACTCTGAAAAACAAAGTTTCATTCATGGTCTCCACAATATTCACATTATATTGCATAAAATGCAAATTGTATACATCTGTTAATATTAACAACAACAACAACAACAACATGAGTCTTCCTGTAGGGCAGGGCTGTCAAACTTGTGGCCCGCAGGTGGGATGTGTCACACGCTGGCCATGTCCACGACCCATTTAGCGAAGGGGGGAAAAGTCCCAATACATCATGTGACTTCACCATGATGATGCAAGTTTGACACCCCTGCTGTAGGGAAACTGGATGATCTACATTTCCAACTTACCACCTAGAAAAACAAGTTTGCATATATTGTTTCTGCACAGATCCACCTAATAATGAGATATGTGAATTGCCCAAGGATGAAGCAGGAATCCTGTGGGATGCAGTATGTTTCATATTCTTACTGATTCAGAGAAGAGTTTTTATGAGCTACTATTATCTCTATATTGTGACTGATCTCCAGGCTACAGATTTATTAGCCTCCAGGTATTTATCAACAATATCTGAATTTACAACAATATTGCATTTGATTATTGTAAGTGGAGATGGAAACAAGGCTAAAAATGGATGATTAACTGATGTAACTAACATCTAGGCAGATAACTGACATGGAACAAAGTGGGATATTTGCATCTAGTGCCCTGAAAATTTTAACATTGCTTAGAGTTCTTCTCCATTTCCCAGTTTAAGCTTTTCTTGAACTTACTAGAGAAATTGATGACTATGTCACTCTTATCACATGACACATTTAAAACCACTGCAGGATTGAGCAAGGATTGTGGTGATTTTTCAGACCAACATAATCCAATTAATATGGATTACCTATTCAAGTTTCCTGGGCAAATGTGGTTCCTAAAATCATGAAATCATTCCCACAATTTCTAAAAAAAGGAATAGCTTTTTAAAGAAGTGTGACTAATCATAATGTATCATTTTTTTCAAGTTATAGCTTTCCTGATTAGGTTTTGATTTGTTTATATTTTTCAGCACTGTTGGTTGCTAATATGTTCTATTTCCAGATGTGATGTAAGGGAAAATAATTCTCCAACCATGAATTTCACTGCACATATTTAATTAGGTTATTATGCATAAAGGGAACTATCACGTTTATGATCCTTAGAAAATAATATTCTGACGTTTTGGAAAATTTAAGTTTTTATAAATGCAGTTGTCTAATAAATTGCTGATTATTAATGGAGTCTGATTTTTTAAATTGGTTGGCATACATATGTACATAAATGGCTTGATTTATAACTTTTTTCTGCCTGAAATATACTTAATTAAATTTTAAAATTGCTTTTTCAACCTATTCACAATATATATCTGTTTGGAGACAGTACACATCTGAATATTATCAATACAGCAGTCTGTGAGCTTCATGGGTTTCCTACAAAGGCAGCTTGCTCGCTACCATTCTAATACAGAAAAAAAAAGTAAATTAGATAAATTAGATAAATTGGATAAATTAGATCCTTGATCTACCAAAGCACAGTTTTGGAAATATTGTTCCAACTTGTTTTTCAAAACAGGGCAGCTGAGATGTTTGAGTTGAAGCTGAAAAAAAAGGTGACTTCTCGGATGGAAGAAAATAGAAAATCAATAGAAATCATGAAAAAGCAGTAAGTTTCTTCATTCAGTTGCAGCAGCATCAAAAAAAAAAAACAACCTAGGAAATATGAGAAATCTATTTTCTTCTGAGGTGTTCAGTTGGGAAAGGCAGTAAAGATGGATCTTCAGCTTAAAGGCCAAAAGTTTCAGTTTAGTATGTCAATATCATTAATGTCACCCATGTATGCTGAATAGCTTTCAATCAGATTGTTCTTTGTGACCAGAAGTATTGGATATATATTTTGTCTTTCTTTACTAAATTTTGTTTTTGTGGCAGCTTTTCTTCAGCTGTAGCATATACTGTAGTTATCACATACAATATATTCATGAGATAAAGTCTGTGAAATTTGAGACAATTTACAAATAAAAATACATATTTATTATTGTATTTGGTAGTCCAAAGAAGTCTGCATATCTAAATCCATATCATAATTACAAAAAATACTTACAGCTAGTGTGAGTTAAAATGCCCCCCCGCCCCCCCTCTTCTCAGTGAAAGGATCTTGATATATGTAAATATGCTAAATGGAAATTATGGCCCTTGATAGCACTTGTCTGAAAATGTGGAAGTGTGGTCCATATTATTAGGAAAAGAAATAAGCTTAAATTTCAGACATCTTGTACTTTAGGCTTCATTGGAAGAATGATGCCTAAATTCTACATTGTCAAGCAAGAGAAGCCAACAAAAGAAAGAAAGGAGGGAAATCATAATACTAGCATAGTCTTTTTTAAAAAACTCAGTTATATTGGAATAAAAGTATCCTTGACTTTTTTTGGAGGCAGGAAATCATCTGTTCTTTTGTGATTTTTTTTAGGATAGACCTGATTAAACCAAAATTTAAAAACCAAAGCTCCTGCAAAGTACTAGAAACAGAGTCTGATCAGAAATTGGAAGAGGAGGATCCAGGTAAAAAACCTCATTTTCCCCCCACAAAACATCTAAAACTTATTGCTTAGAAAATTTTGAATATCCCAGACATTTGGCAACCTTCTGACAAGTAAAGTCAATGGGGAAATCTGATCCACTTAACAACCGCATTATTAACTTAACAACTGTGATGATTCATTTAATGGCAAGAAAAGTCATAAAATGAGGCAAAACTCACTTAACACATGTCTCACTTAGCAACATAAAAGAAAATAGAAAATCAATGGAAATCATGAAAAAGCAGTAAGTTTCTTCATTCAGTTGCAGCATCATCAAAAAACACACCTAGGAAATATGACAAATCTATTTTCTTCTGAGGTGCTCAGTTGGGAAAGGCGGTAAAGATGGATCTTCAGCTTAAAGGCAAAAAGTTTCAGTTTAGTATGTCAATATCTTTAATGTCACCCACATAGGCTGGATAGCTTTCAGTCAGATTGTTCTTTGTGACTAGAAGTATTGGATAGATATTTTGTCTTTCTTTTCTAAATTTCTGTTTATCTTGAAAAGAAATGACACTAAAATTACATGGATATTTTGGTAATTATGACACTCTCAAATTCTGCTGTTGCTGCTATGACTGTATTAGTCACAATGTTTGTGTGACAAGATCATTTGCACTTCATCACTTGCCCCTTGACCCTATGGATGCCCATGCATGGTCATGAAGTCTGCGAATTCTGGGAACTCCAACCAACATATCTGGAGAGTGACAGGTTGGGTAATGTTTCTCTATTTTTTCTTAAGGCACTTTTTACTGAGTAATTCTTTTTGTCTTTTCTGCAGGAGATGATACCAGCAAGATGGAAAAAGAGAATAAAAAGAATTGGTGGCATCCATGGATGACACAAAACTCAGGTACGTTACCTGTGTTTACTAAGAAAAGGCCTATTTACTTGGTGCCACCTTTGAAGAGGGGCATCTTCTTTTCAACTTGTCCTCTTTAGTTTGTTTGATGTTTATGCTGTAAATAATTATTGCTAGGCTTGGAAAAGCACGAACAATCAGTTAAATCAGTTGGTTAAAAACATTTTGGCAGATCAGAGAGATGTATTTGATTCAATAGTCTAATATTTTTTAAAAAAATGTTTGTAATGCAAAGGACTTACAAAAAATATAGGTGTCATCTTCAGGTACTGCATATAGCTCTCTTTTATGCAAGTACAGTAGCTTAACAGTGAAATGTTTGGCTAAACAATTATAGTTTTCCTTCTTTTCTACCTAATTTTCTTCTGATGGGTTGAGCTACAATTGGCTTGAATAGAGGGGAGCTGAAGTTAATTCCATCTGCAGGACACCAGGTTAGATAAAAAGCTGTTTTAATTGGTTTTAGTATTTGCAAGTAAGTAATGTGGCAATGGAACTGCAATCTTTGAGGAGCAGAAAACTTGGCTGAAAAGTCTGAGTTTTATCCATGTGGCATATAATTCCATAAGAGTTTTTTAATACCTGGATTTCCTGTCAATTTCAGTGGTTCGAATTAGGAGCTATTGCCTTTTTGATACAGATAGTGAAGATGAAGAAGAAGAAAATGAACACTCTGAAAAGAGCAAAAAAGAATTCTTTAAAAAGAAAACGGCATGGCAGGTGTGACCAATTTCTGAAGGGGAAAAAATGTGCTGGGGAAGTGAGAGCTAATGGAAATGGCACATAGGCATGTAGTTATTTTTAAATGGTAGGCAAAACTATTCATTCAGGCTTTGCAAACTTTCCAGCTGACTTCTGACAAGCAAAGTCAATGGGGAAGTCAGATTCACTTAACTGTGAATCTTACTTAACAACTGCAGTGATTCACTTAACAACTGCCTCATGTTTTATTGCTCAATAAGATTCTCTTTTGCAGCTTGCATATGAAGCCTGGATGAGCAATGCAAAATCAGCTCTAAATAACAGAGAGCAAGATGAAATTAGAAGTCAAAGAAATAAAAAGGAGGAGGAAACGAAAAATGAGCAATTGCCAGGGGTTGAAAGAGGTAGGAGTACTTATACACATGCTGTTATTTTCACTAGGTTATACCATGATTGGTTAGAAGTGGAAAATACTATATTTTAAATCATCCCTCACCTCTTATTAATATAATTTGAAAACTTTTCCACTTAAAAATGAATGTATATTCTTGTTGATAGAAATGTGGAAACCTCAATATACAACTTTGGTCCCTTCATCAAGGGCATTGGCCTGAGTCATAATTCTGGGATGCTGTTTTGATTTTTTTAGTTTTTGTTTTGTTTTGTGTGCTTAGCTAATGTCAGTTTGGAATCCTCTGATGAAAATATAGAGATACTGGCTTCTGAAGAGGACTTGGATAAGTCAGGTAATTAATTCCATTGTACAGAAATCATTAAGATACAAATTAATGAGTCAATCATCTCTCTCTCATGTAAGTCACAGGAAACCTTTAACTCAGGTTTCCAGTCTTGGAAAGGTAACAAGAAGGCCGTGTCATCAAAGGTGATGGGGCATGAAGCAGGGGAATCCACCAATGAGGATCTGTACTAATTGCAATTGGGACAGGATACCTGGCCATTATTCTGTCTAATTTGGGATTTCTTAAGATGTTTTCATTTCCAGTTTATGCATGGGAGTCAAGCAGCCAAGGGCTACAGTGTACAAATGTCCTGCAAATTAAATTTTAATGGGTTTAATTCCATGATGGTGATGATGGTGACATTGAAGGGACCGATTCTACATTAAATTTTGAGTCAATAAGCTCCAGTTTACCATATCTACCAAGAATAATCATGCCTTTCTGATAGCAGTTTCTATTTCATTATTATTTCATGTGGCTCCAACTTTATTATCTTGTTAATATTATATTGCAGGTATAATGGTTTTGGGATTTTAACTGTGATCAAGCAGGTGTAATAAAATATAAAATAAATATCTCCATATCACCATGAATATCTCCATATCTCCATGGATATCACATTAAATGCATTTTTGCACTTTGCAACAGTTGATAGCAATTATTAAAATCATAAGCAAGAAAGATATTTAACTCTTTCTCCTCCTGGTGAACTCTCCCGGTGAACTTAGGAAAATCTCTTTGTATAAGAAGGATTTCTGGAGTATTGGGAGAAAAACACAGTGACACAGTGGTGAAATCCACATTTTTTTACTACCGGTTCTGTGGGCGTGGTTTGGTGGGCATGGGTGTGGTTTGGTGGGCATGGCAGTGCAAAATCTCCATTCCCACCACACTCCAGGGGAAGAATACTGCAAAATCCCCATTCCCTCCCTACTCTGGGGCCAGCCAGAGGTGGTATTTGCCGGTTCTCTGAACTACTCAAATTTTCTGCTACTGGTTCTCCGAACTACTCAAAATTTCCGCTACTGGTTCTCCAGAACCTGTCAGAACCTGCTGGATTTCACCCCTGCAGTGACAGTTTTACAGTACTTTCTCCCAAAGTATGTATCAACTTCAGAGAAAGGGTTTTCTTAAGGAATGTAGCAGGATAAGATACTCGGATAAATTTTTCTCTCTCTGTAGCTCCACCAGATTAATTAATACTATTTGCATTTTGAAAATCTGAATGTTAAAGAGAAAGATACATTTGATATCACTTCTAAAGTAACTTTCAAATAGCTATATAACTGAAAGTATACCAATGCCAATGAATTTATGGTATCTGTTAGACGACAAATAAAACAGATCATAACATGAATATACAAAATACAGAATAAACTAAGCAAATAAATGTCACTGAAATACAGACAGATGCTGTCACTGTTAGAGATTGAAACATTTTCTATATGTGTATGAGTATTTGTGAGAGCAAAATTAGTGAAGCAGTTTTTATAACTATAATATGAGGGTTACGTCCCAAGCCTTGCAGATTCCTAAAGAGTCTTCAGAATTGGAATGATGTTGGGCTGTCAGTTTTTCTCATAGTAAGATGCTTGTTCTCTTCACAACAGAAACTATTGTGCAAAGAATAATCAACATTATTAAGCTTATCTCCATCTTGATGCCTGCATTGAAGGATGATATTATAGAAGCCCTTAATTCCCTCATTAAAGATAATTTGGACATTGCTGATGCATTGAGAATCAAAAAATATATTCTTTCGCAACAGATGAACAAGGTAAGATTTCTGGATTTTGAAGTACCATAGCTTACATTCAGTTTATAGAGGCATTGTATTTTAGTTGCAATTTTAATTTAAGAAATTGGATTTGAATTTTATTATTTTTACTTTGCTTAGTTGTATTGTTGCTAGTTGATGTCAACTCATGGTGACTTTGTAGATAGTTGTCCTGAATTGCATTTGGTGTCCAGTCAGATGGCCAATCATTGCTGGAGTGAGTGCTTTCAGACTGCTAGGGTGAATTCAGCAACTATAAATGTAGAATTCATGGGACATTGTGTTGGGAACTATGGTTGGAAATATATGGTGTTGTGCAATTAGTTTAATTTATTATGTTTTTACTTAAAATTATCAGGAATAATATAGGCAGCCATATGCATTTCTCAATGTACATTGTAGGCAATGCTAGTTAGCATTGACTAACTACTAATTTCTACTAAAGACAGTAGAATGTGTTGAGGAGCTTTTCTCTTCACCTATGACTTTCTCCATTTCATGTAACATGTCAATTCCAGATAATACTATTTTCTTTTGAGCTTTCATGGACCAAAGCAATTCCATTTAATTTTCCTTTACTGCTCTCTTTCCACCCAACTAATTGTGCTCTGGATTATTTTCTAAAGGGAAATGAAGTTTCAGCAGATATGGTTCTACAACATTACAGATTTGGGAATAATCAGCCAGTTTATGGAGAATATAAAGCCAAAGTAATAGAAACTGAGGAAAGCCAAGACAAGGTATCTGAATCTCCACCAACTGAGAATACTGAGCCTTTATCTGTGCAACTCAGGTAAGAAGTAATTGCCTGCCACAAGGTGGAAACCTCCAGTATTTTTTTTTTCAGGTTCTTGTAATGTTCTTATACAGTAGCAAATATATTGTGATGTTGAGGAACAAATATAACATATATTTGAATCTGTAGTATCTCTTTTGCCCATTAAAAATCAATGGAACATAACCACAAAGGCATTATCTCAGCTTTTATCTTTGACCCTTTAAAGCAGTATTTGTCAACCTCAGCCGCTTTAAGATGTATGGACTTCCAATTCCTAGAATTCCATAGACAGCATTCTACTTGACAATTCTGGGAGTTGAAGTTCACACATCTTAAAGTTGCCAAGGTTGAGGAATGCTATCTTTAAAGCAAAGAGTGCTGGCAGTCTTCACACTGCAGGTGCAGGGGAAGGAGAGCTGAAGTGGTAATGGAAACCTTCAAAGGAGGCTGCCTTTCCAGATAACATGGCTGTTTAAGATCAGTTTAGTCTTGGATGGCAGATGTTGCTTCTACCAACATATAAAAGGTGTATGCAAGAAAATCCTTTTGACGGAAAAGGAGGATGCAGACCCGGACAGCTGTGGTGCACCAAAATTACATCAAAATGATGAAATGCACACTGTGATATCATGCTGCACATCCCTCCTTTGCATATTTACATCCTTTGTACATGTTGATGCAAGTAGAAACATTGTGAGTTTTGCAACATGACAGTATGTTTCATCACAGCCATTTTTCTTGGCTCTTCCCCCAAGCACTAGGATAGGGAGAAGTCAGATTTGGAAGGTAGCAGCATTGGCTGCATAATAGAAGAGTGGTTTTGATGCCAGGTTTTTCTTTCCGTGTTATTGTTTGTTTGTTTTTCTTTTATTGTTTGTTTTTCTTACATAATGGTTGTAAACTGTTCAGAACTGTGTTTTTAGGATATGTCAGCCCCAAGAGTTTGAAACAAACAAACAAACAAACAAACAAATAAACAAACAAACAAGCAGGAGGATTTCTACACTGGGCAGGTCACAACCAGATGATCTCCAAAAGCACTGGACAGTGTGAGGTTGACTAGATGATCTCAAATATCCTTTACAAAGCTATGGTTTTATGATGTGACTCCCACACAGAAACATCTGTGCACACCAAAAATGAACACAAAACCCACTTTCCCATTTTTTGGTGCTTTGCTTTTTTAGATTTTTCAACTTGGCTTTGAACAAAAAGGATATTCATTACATTTATATCTTTTAAAACAAGATTAAATAATCTGTTACCCATTGACCAAATGTGTGGTCTCTCTCAGCCTAAATACTGGGTGGTAAAACACAAATTTTTGATGGTGAGATCTTTACTTTGGAGACCAAATATGGAATTTCTGAACAAAGAAGTATTGTCTGCCGTCATTCTAACAGAGGACTTAAATGTCCATAGTTATCAAGAAGCTTGTTTCCATTGATTTTTGTTTTGCACAAATCCCTGATGGTAAAAATAGTTCAGAAGTGAAGGATAATGAATTGTTTTTAATAGCTCTTTGGAAGAAGAGCCATTGTGAAAATGCCTCTCAGTCTTGGAGTTACTAAAAGACTTCTGGGCAATTTTTTAATGTCTTTCAAAATCAGGAGATCCAGTGAAACTGACAAAGATGTAATGGAGACTGAGAAGATAGAAGGGGGAAATGAAAAAGAAGCCCTCTCCCAAGGATTCACTCTGATCACTTCCTGTGCAGAACCTGACGTTCTTTCCAGTTCTCCATCAGAAATTCAAGAGTCTGCAGATTCCTTGTTCACTAGAAGTCCAAAAGCCAACAAGCCATTAGATGAAATATCTACTATGATGACAACCAGTGAGCTGGTGCTTAACAGGCAAGCATATTCTATTATGCTTTTATTAAAACTGCCTTCTGACCTCACTTTGCTTTCGAAGAGCATGAATTCAAGGTTGCAAAATCCTTAGGTCCATAATATTTCAGTGAGTGCATCTTGTTCACTGTTCTGACATAACCCAGAGCAGACATCTCAAAGCTCCATTGTGTTCTCCAACATACTGGGTGAAATGCTGAGATTCACAATCCCACATTTGGATGACTTCAACTGTGGTAGGCTGACCTACTAGTTTAACAATTCCCAGTGGGGGGAAAAATGAAAGAGATGTTCATGATGAACTGTATCTAAAATTCAGGATATCATTTATTCTAGAATATATTTATGCTGGTATATATTATTTTAGTTACAATTATTAATTGTGAGCTAGTTTGGTCTAGTGGTTAAGGAACCAGGCTGGAAATTGGAGACTGTGAATTGTCCTGCCTTAGGCATGAAGGCTGTCTGGATGATTTTTTTCTCAGCCCATAATGTTAGCCTCATGCAACAAAGTAGTTGGTTAATTCTTGTCACAACCAATGGATTAATATTTAGTTGATCCAAAAATAGGACCCTGCACCTAGGGGAAAATGCTAAGAAGGGGAAATAAGTTACTGTAGTTAATGACATTTCTTTTGTGTTTTTTCCTTAAATATGGTCTAGCATTCTTCATGACAATGAGCTGGAGCAGTCAGATAAATTTTACCAGTGCCTTCCTTTTCCCTTGAAGCTGGGAATTGCTTTGTACCATGTTATGGTCTCTACATCAGAAATGCTTTGTTATTTTGTTATCATTGTCAACCACATGGTTTCTGCTTCCATTTTTTCTTTGGTTCTCTCCATTTTGATATTCCTGTGGCCTATGTTGTCCAGTCCAAGGCCTACCAAATTCTTCTGGATGACAGCAATCATTTACACTGAGGTAAGTGTTCAGTAGCTGCTGCATTTAGTTGCTGTACTCTTCTCTGTATATCATTTTCACTCCCCTTTGAGCTTCAATGAAATAAAGAACTGACTAGGTACTAAGAGGTCTCAAGCCTACCTGTGAATCTTAGTCTCTGACTTGGAAGCAACTACTGGTCACATTGGAAAGAAAGAAAACTAGAACAGAACATGGTACAAAGTCTCAAGCAAAAAGGAGGAAAACAGGACTTCTTGTTAGCATCTTCCAACACAGGCCTTTGAATAAATGGTGATTTGTATCTGGAATATATGTCCTCCTGCTAATTATCCTGGGAAAACACATGGATAAGAGTGAAAAACAGTTATTTCAGCTGAATCCTACAAGATAAATTTTAACATTGTCTCACAGTTTCTATTGACTTTCTCCTTTGAAAAGATGTTCATTAAATAAGCAGGATAAAAATACGAAGCCTGTGTTGTAGAACAGATCACTACCCCCACTTTAGCACTGCTCACTGTTTTAGAAATCTTGAAGAATTATCATTTTATAATAATAGTAAATCTACATATGTTTTCTTCTTCTGCCAGATAATGATTGTGATCAAATGTATTTCCCAGTTTGGATTCTTTCCTTGGTCTTCTAAGATATATTGCAGTATCAGTGCAGAAGCACCATTTGCCTTGCCAAATATAATTGGGATTGAGAAGAAAGATGGATATGCACAGATGGATCTGGTGCAGCTCCTAGCCTTGTTCTTGCACAGGTACATCTTGAAGGTACTGCAAACTATCCTTAATAAGGAAGAAAGACTTTAATCCTCCTTTTCAAGCATGGATTTGTTAACATGTCGTATAGCAGATGTTTATGACAACATCAGAAGAGTCCTGTAAATCAAAAACCTATCTAGTCTAGTAACTTGTCCCTACGATGATTTTGATCATCTATGGTGATCAGTGACTTTTCTGTAGTGATCAACCATGTCCCACCAGAAGAACATTAGATTAGACATTACAATAGAGAGTGACACTCATGTTTTCTAGCAGATGGAAATGTCATTGCAAATATATTACCTTTGAAACTGCAGCTAATATAGAACTATCAGACCCATTGGCAGCCTTATGCTCCATTAATTTCTTTAATTTCCCAGGCTCTGGAAACAAATAATTCTATAGTTTGGGCAATCATTTTGTAACAAAACATTTATTTTGGTCTGTCCTGAATAGCCAGTTGTTTTGTACTATCATTGAGAAAGAGAGATGTTCCTTGCTCTGGATATTCTTCATACTGTAGAATATAATAATTCTTTACACCTTTCTTTCTTTTCCCAATTATTTTCTTTTTTCAACTAAAATCTCTTAAGCTGTAATTTTTAATACACAACTCCTCCAGCTATATGACTGAAGTTTCCCTAATTCTACAATAGACTTGTCATAGAGCAAATGAAGCAGTCAATGTTATGGTCATAATATTTAAAGGATCATCTCTTCAAATGTTTTTCTCTCCTAAAGCATCAATCTGATTCCCTCAAATACTGAAATTTTGGTGGTTACTTGACAGCCAACTTTCTTCATGAAAGCTCCAATTATTTTTCCTGCTCTGTGTTCTGACATGTATGGGAATTATGCATGTATAAACCCAGCATTCTTTTTCACTTCTTTTAAATGTGGTTAAAGATTCCCACACGCAATAACTTTCACTTTGCTTTATCCCACAGTGTCAAGGTCTCTGGGATTCTAAAATACTAGATCCTAAGCAAAAGGACATGATCAAGAAATCTAAGAAGAAAGATTGCAAAGGTCATTCGAAAGAACATCAGTCTAGCTCAGAAGGATGGCATCTCTCTAGGAACATTTTTAAGAGGGCTAATAGAGGTAGATAAATGCAAATACGTGGACAAAATATTCTTGCTATGAGAACCCCCCTGATCAGCAGGAAGAGTAAAAATAAAAACTATACTAATCAAAGAAGAGCTGGAGAATTGAACATTTTATTGCTGGAGTGGGAGAAGCTAATGACTGTTTTCCTTTCCTTTTGACAGACAAACCTCTGAAAGAAGCCCAGAAGACATGCAGCTTTTTCAGAAAACCTCCATCTGGCAAGAAGAGACATTCTAAAGAAACAATAAACCAGAAGATACTTAAGACAAAAATGTAAATGGAGGGTTTCCTTTTATGTTTTAAGAACCTCTAAAAGAGTATTTCCTGACCTTCACAACTTTAAGTTGGGTAGACTTCAACTTCCCTCTGCTGGGGAATTCTAGGAGTTGAAATCCGCCCATCTTAAAGTTGCCAAGATTGAGAAACACTGACCTAAAAAAAGTAAGGTGTTGCAACCTGAGTTGAGTTGCAAGTAGGGCAGGGGATGGCAGGAAGAGTAGACACAAAACTTACATTGCCTGATGATCATGCCTGAAAAATGATGCTGCTACATAGAATTCTACAAGGGAGAAACATGCTACATTTGCTTTTGACTATAAAATAGTCAAGATCTTCAAGATTTTGTTTAGCTGACTTGATGATGCAAAAAACATAGCTCTGAGAGAAGATCAGAATGATGCAAGGAGTACTGCACTGTTGTACTTAAGTTCTGCATGTTTTGTATGTATGTGTCACAATACAATGTGTGGACAAAAGGGGCAGAGCTTAATCACAATGGTGTGATGCTCATTTTGTCATTTACCTACTTCTGGGGATACCTCTGTGATCATGCCTTTATGAATAGACATATCAGTCAATTGCTGACAAGCAGACTCAACTTCCCTCACACACACCCTGCCCTCCAAGTTAGCCATAATAAGACTGGATGAAGTCTTTGTCGTAAAGATAGGTGATGTAAAATTGAATAATATCCTGTGGTTTGCTTTCATTTATGATTACAATAACTGTCTTTTCATGGTTATCTGAGTTGAGAAGTCCTAGAATGAAATCAGATATTTCAGCTTGATATTTGACCCAACCAGAAAATAATGTGCATCAGACTACTGTATGTGAGAAAGAACAGACAGAGAAAGGGGTATCTAACTCTAGAAATAGGAGGTCTTGAAAAGGATGTCCACATTTACACCACTCTTTGGGTCTAAAACCTCATCTCAATTAGCTAGCTTGTGTGTTTTCTGCACTGTCTGCTATAATGCTATCACTTTTTTCTTGAACTTTAAGCAAATACTTTAGCTTGCTTAAATATGACTCTACTTTACACTTTGACGGATCTAGATAAACTTTTACCCCCAGTGTGCTTTGGATTTATCGGCCTATCAAGCAGTTCTTCTATGACATCACTTATCCTGAGAGCAACCCAGTCTGTGATATCTATGCTTTCATCTTCACTGCTGATGTGATTAGTTTTATTATTGCCATCTTTGGCTATGGGGCGCTTGGGGTAAGTAGCAATGTGTGTTGCTGAAATTTTATCAGAAAGGGTTTGTAGAGTATGTTTTGGTGGGTCTGGAAGAAAGTTTTTTTTCAGAATTGCTAATTTGCTAATGCTTCCCTCAGTGATGAAGAAGAAATACTCATGTGCTCATGATGTGCTCAAAAGCTATTACTATTTTGCTATTACTTCAAAAATTCCAAATCCATGAATGCATTTCAAGAGCCCTGGTAGCACAGGAGACTAAATAACACTGTTATTAACATCAGCTGCCTGCAATTACTGCAAGTTCAAATTTCACCAGGCTCAAGGTTGACTCAGCAAGAATATGTGACTTCTTATGAATGTATGAATGTTCAAGAACCAAGTTGGGGTAATAATTTGAGTTTTCAATTATTGGACGTAGATTTAAATCCCCACTTAATTGTGGAGTTCACTAGGTGATCTTGAGCTAAGATCTGTTAACTCATGGAGTCATTGTGACTCTAATAGAGGAGAGGAGAGGAGGGAAGGGAAGGGAAAGACAATACTAGAAGAGACTACAGACTGAAGAGGATTGGACCCAAATGCTTTAAAGCAAAAAGTAAACCTGAAGATGATGAGGCATATTTGGAACTGAGTCTATGGAACATAGGAGCAATGTGGCTTCTATATGATACAATGGAAATTAGAGAAAATACTGGTTAAATAAATTTATGAACCTAGATTTGAAAATGAAACGCAAGTCTTTGTATTTAAAACTTTAAATGATTTTAAATGCCAGTCTAAAGTGTGGGACCATTATAAATATGAATATATTGATCTATTATTGTTATGGCTATTGATACTAATACATATGTCTCATACTATTCCTTTGAAATAAACAGCACTAAGCAAAGTGAAGAAATACTACATAAAAAGTTATAGGCAAAAGAAATCGAAGTTCAGAAAAAAGAGGAAATTTAACTTAATGTAGTTTTATTTGGCATTATTATTATGTTTGGTCATATATATGTTTAGCTAAATGCTTAGACTCAATTTGGGATTTTTATCCACCAACAGAGTACTTGCCAAGGGCCTGATAGGCAGAGATTGTTATTGATGTTAAGGGTTTTTAGCAGTGCCGATGGTATTCAAGTGGTCTTTCACACGTTTTAGGATTCGAAGTTATCTATTGCTATCAATACTGTCTTTTTCTTTCTTTTCTCATGGTGTTATTATTAATTTTTTCTAACATATTTCAGAGGCATTCAGACAGTGATATCACAGAATCCCTTTTGGAAGATGAAGTTCCTGTACCTTGGCTTATGATACTCTTGATACAGTTTGGCACCATGATAATTGATAGGGCACTCTACCTAAGAAAGAACATGTTTGGGAAGTGTGTTTTCCAAATGATCTTGGTCTTTGGCATTCATATTTGGATGTGTTTCATTTTGCCACAAGTAACACAAAGGTATGGCAACATCCAGGAAGGAACTGGGAATTGCTTCCTGAAAAGTTCTTTTGGGGCTCAATTCAAAAGGGAGATATATATTCAGTGGGTGGAATGGCCTTTATTATGTGTCTTTTCTATGTGCTTCGAGGTATTACTTCAAGTCGTCAAGGATAACCAAGTCTTCTCAGGTTGAGTATCATATTTTGTGTTAATTTGATGTGGTGGGCTGTACAAAAAGTAACAGGTAGGTCCAGGAAAAAGACCTTTACAAAGCTGAATTATAATGAAAGTGTTCTTTACATGAAACTTAAATTAACAGATGTAATGGATTCAAATTAATAAGAAATGAAAAAAATACCAAAAAGGTGCTACCAAATTTCAGAAGCAATGAAAGAAGGAATTCTGGAGATTACTCAAAATTATTTAGGTACTGTACATGGCCTATGGTTTACCTAGATCTGTTCTAGAGCCATGTTGGTGGTTGCACCCACATTGTGGAATGTTCCTTCAGTCATTTTTGAGTGTAATTGGGCTTTTCATAATTTATTGCTTTCATTATGATTTTAAAGATTGTTTGAAGTATGTATTGTTCTTTAGAGTGAGAGTGTTAAATACTATTTTAGTTAATGATGATTCTGTTTAGTGTCTTTAGTTGCGTTCAGGCATAAAGTATAAATATTATTGCATTTGAAATGAAAAAAAAACTCAGGAGAGTTTTAGTAGTATATAGGTAACTAGTAAGATTACTTTCCAAGTGTGTATTTAATAAGTTTCTCCTTCTACCACATTAAAATAATGCAAATTGGTGAAAATGTTTGTGACCTTTGGGGGATGCACCTAAAATTTTTATAGCCATGTATACATGGAACTTGAGTTTATGCTACTTGTGCTGCAGAAAGTATATCCAGATCCAAGCAGTAGAACTAAATATTTGTACTTGGGGATTGTTACATTTGTTTGTTTGTTTATTGTGCATGCTTACATTAGTATATCCATGAACAATTCTCCAGGAGGAAAAAAGCCTTATATTCATAACCATTCTAATGCTTCATAGAATCTGCCCTCAATTCATTCATTAACTGGTGAATATAAGGTACATAATTATCTGCATGTAGTTCATGTCCCTAATAAAACTGTAACCATTTACTTTATAGAGCCTTCAGTTGTTATTAAGGGAATAAGGAGGATTTAATTCTTCTCCTGTTTCTCTCTTCTGTGCATCCATAACTGGTCTGCAGGGTATGTATCTATCAAAATTTGCAAGATGGGAAGCACACTGTGGCAATAGTAGCCCTGCCCTCTTGGTCCATGCATTTATTTAACTGACATGTACAAAAGTGGCAGAGCTTCATTGTGATGCTGTGCCTGCCATTCTGCAGATTTTGAACTCTTCCCCTATGAATACATAATGCAACTCTTGTGTAATTAATGACAATTCTGTCTGTTCCCTTCACAAGGCTGTACAAATAGATGCATTAAGTAGACCCATGGACCAAGAGGGCAGGGCTACTATTGCCACAGTGTGCTTGCCATCTTGCAAATTTTGATAGATACATACCCTGCAGACCAGTTATGGATGTACAGAAGAGAGAAAAGAGGAGAAGAATTATTGAGTAACAGCCAAGAACTAAGAAAATTTTATGGTATATGTAGTTAGAAAAAGTGGGAGATCAGAATGATTTTTCTGTTCCTTCACAGGAGATTTAACAGGAATAGATTGGCTCAGCTGTGGTATTTGGTCAAGTGCATTTCTTTTGGTTTGTCCACATATCAGATCAAATGTGGCTACCCAAATCGGACCATGGGCCACTTTTTAACCAAGAATTACAACAATATAAACCTCTACTTTTTCCAAGGGTAAGTAGTAATTTCATGACAGGATATAAACATGTGCATACCTAGAAGAAGGTGGCCAAAGGGAGATTTGAACTAACTGGTAGGTTTTGGACTCATACTAATAAAATAACTTCAGCAGCAAAAAAAATCTTCTTTGGTCCAAACTATTCTACTGATATAGATTGTGAGAAGGGAAAGTGACCTCTATTCTACAACTCCAAACAATTTTCTAAGCAATATTCTAAACAATATGACCTAAAGGTTAAAATGTGGGACTAAGGCTGGAAGACCAAGTACTAGTCCTCCCTCGGGCACAGAAGTTCACTAGGTAACTTTCGATCACTTTTTCTTTCCAGCCCAACTACCAGTATAATGTAGTTGTTACAGTACTAAATGAGGAATTAGAAGACCCAAGTTCTAGTCCACCTTCAGTTAAGGCAGGCACTGGTTGCCATTAGGTTGATACCTCTTTCTTTCAACCAAACTTACTTCCTAGATTTAGAGGGTTTGTGTGTGGGGGTGGGGGGAGCAATTAGAGGAAAAAATGCTAAACATGCCTCTTTGAGCATCTGGAGTTCACAATATGAAAAAAGATGCTGAAGAGCTGGAAAGAGTGCAGAGAAGAATACAAAGATAGAAAGAGGCTTGAGGGCTAAATCTTCTGAAGATTGATTAAAGGAACTTAGTATGATTAGCTTAAAGAAGAGAAAGATCAGGGAAGACATGGAAGCAGTCTTCAGATGCATGAAGGAATATCAGAAGGTCTGGATTTATTTCTCCAGAGCATCTAAGGACAAGACAAAACTGGCAAGGGAAACTTAAAAAAGAGGAATCCAAATGTTAAACAGTACCTATTGTAAGTGTGCTTTCGAAAGCATGTAAAAAATGCAAGTAGAAAAATAGAGACCACCTTTGGTGGAAAGGTAACAGCATTCCATGCACCTTTGGCATTTAGTCATGTTGACCACATGATCATAGAGACGTCTCCAGACAGTGCTGGCTCTTCGGCTTTGAAACAGAGATGAGTACCGCCCCCTAGAGTCGGGAATGACTAGCACATATGTGCGAGGGGAACTTTTACTTTTTATTGTAACTGTTCCATCATTGGAGATTTTCAGGAAAAAAGATTGGATAGGCATTTGCTCAGGATAGATGTACTGGGCTTGATTTACTGAATATGATTTATGGAGGGAAATGGTAGACCTATGTTCAAAGTTTCACCAGCCCTTAAGTAGAATGATAATCAGAACTTTGTGGCTCCCAGACAATGGAATCAAGAAACAGTGCTCACTATCTTCAATTTCCTTTTTCATATAGTGATAAAAATCACTTAGTTTTGACAATTTGAATAGATTTTTTAATAAACAGCCATAAATAAAATTATGATTATAATTTTTTATGAGTCAAGTTTAAGTCATAAATGGAAATCTATGATTGACTAGTCTTAAAATCAATCAATTAGTCAATCAATAATATATGATTTTTTTTGTTGACTCTATGCCACTTGCAAAAAGTACAATTTATCATTTTCATTTTGTCTTAAGATTTTGTACCTGAAAATATAGGGAAGCTCCAGTGTTAGCAGCATTGATTTAGTTGCAGAACATTTCTGCAGTGTAAATTTAAAATGAGTGCAGATGTTTTGATTTATAATTCTTTGAAAGAAGAATTACAGATATCTGTATCAGGATATTATTGGTATCCAAATTAAAGAGTGATAGTTCTCTGTAGAATTTTCTTTAGAGGAAAGCCTTTAAATAAACTCCTAAAAATTAATTTATCAAATGTTTATGTTTGAAATGTTTATTACAAAATGCTAGTCACCAATATCAATTTGCCTTTTTTATTCTCTCATGGATAGATTCCGCATAATACCTTTCTTGGTTGAGCTGAAGGCTGCCGTGGACTGGGTCTGGACTGATTCTACACTCAGCCTCTCCAGTTGGAACTCCCTAGAGAATATTTATGCAAAGATTTTCATTATAAAATGTCAGAGAGAGTGTGAAAAAGTGAGTGATTTTTTTTCCTGGATCTTGCTAATTCTCTTAATGCAGGTGACACAGGATAAACTTGCTGGAAACTCTGGAAATTGTAGTGTAAAACTTCTAAATGTGGCAGGTTGAATGGGCGGGGGAGTCTGGGATGATCTAGTCGATCTCTGAAATGGTTCGTTTTTATTAGCCATATTACAATAAACATTGTATTTAAGATTTCCAACTTCTGTGATGATCATCTTTTTGCTCATATCTGAATATTCACAAATGGAAATATGGCCACAACATGTAGTTTTTGGAAACACTGATATGAAAACACTGAGATCATTGTATGTTTGTCAGATAAATCATAAAGGGATTTTGAAATATTTGGTACTGGGAAAATTGTATTATACCTAAAAATATGTTTTCCTTGGCCGCTGCTTGATGCATATCATTAACATGGATGCATGGATATATTTTTCAGTTATGTAGATGTCCTGGATGCTGTTTTTTCTGTGTAAGAAAAAAAAATACAGTCAACTGCCTTAAAAAAATCGTATCAGAATCCTTCTGGATCAGACCCTAAACCCATCTAGCCCAGTGTTGTTATGAGCAGTACTTAAATTAATAAATCTGTGTTCAACCAGATAATTGGAGAAACTCACAACCCTGGACCAGAAGGCAAGAGCTCCCTTTTACTGGAGTTTCTTAGCAGTCAGTACTAAGGCCCATTGCTCATAATTCAGAAGGCAGAAATCTCAGTAACCACTGTTACCCTCATCTTCCATAAACCTCTCCAGTCCCCTTTTAAAATTATTCAAATTATATGCCACTTTCCACAATTCACTTAGGTCCTGTACCATTGATTCCTGAATCTCCATGCCTTGTTATTTGAGAGGGAGAAGGGAAAGGGAGAAGGGAGAAAAACATTCAGTCATGCATTACCTTGGAATATTACCTACTACCAACAGTGTAGCTTTGATCACCAGAGTTTAGGAAATAGAATTCAGAACATGCTCTGTTGCTAGTGTTGATCAAAATTAGCAATGCTGAAGCACTTGTGTAGAATTGAAAGTTACTGCTCCTGGTTCTGGCTTCAGATTCTTATACTGTATAAATTTATTTATTTATTATTTATTTATTTATTTTGTCGCATTTCTATGCCACCCAACTCCCAAGGGACTCTGGGCGGCTTACAACAGAGAATAAAACAATGCAAAAATATCCCATACAAAAGTTAAAAGAAGACATTAAAACATTAAAACGTTAAAACACATACACTCCAATTTGTGGCTGGGTCTCACAAGATCACTATAACGAGATTAACGGCCCCAGGCCTGCCGGAAGAGCCAGGTCTTCACTGCTTTCTGGAAGGCCAATAGGGTGGGGGCGGTCCAGACTTCAGGAGGTAATTGGTTCCAGAGAGCCGGGGCAGCCACAGAGAAGGCCCTCCCCCATGGGCCTGCCAGCCGACATTGTTTAGCTGATGGGACCCGGAGGAGACCGACTCTGTGGGATCTTACCGGTCGCTGGGAGCTATGTGGTAGAAGGCGGTCTCGAAGATAGCCTGGTCCTGAGCCATGTAGGGCTTTAAAGGTAATAACCAACACCTTGAATTGTGCCCAGAGACCGATAGGGAGCCAGTGCAGCTCATGGAGAATTGGTGTAATGTGAGTGTATCTAGGTGCACCCACTATAACTCGCGCGGCTGCATTCTGGACCAACTGTAGTCTCCAAACACTTTTCAAGAGTAGCCCCATGTAGAGCGCGTTGCAATAGTCCAACCGTGAGGTGACAAGGGCATGAGTGACTGTGAGGAGAGCCTCCTGATCCAAGTAGGGTCGCAATTGGTGCACCAGACGAACCTGTGCAAAGGTCCCCCTAGCTACAGCTGTCAGATGTTGTTCCAATCTCAGCTGTGAGTCTAGAAGGACACCCAAATTGCGAGCCTGTTCTGAGGGAGGCACTTTCTCTCCCCCAGAACCAAGGATGGACAATCGACATAGTCTTTAGGGGGCAATACCCAGAGCCATTTGGTCTTGTCTGGGTTAAGTCTGAGCCTGTTGACTCCCATCCAGATCGTCACAGCCTCCAGGCACTGGCACATCACATCTACCACCTCACTGAACTGACGAGGGGTGGAGATATACAGCTGGGTATCATCAGCATATTGCTAATATCCCACCCCATGTCATCGGATGATTTCACACAGTGGTTTCATGTAAATGTTAAATTAGGAGGGGAGAGAGGACTGAGCCCTGAAGCACCCCACAGATGAGGGGCCTAGGGGACGACCTCTGTCCTCCTACCAGCACCGACTGTGATCGACCAGAGAGATAGGAGGTGAACCACCACAACATGGTGCCTCCCACTCCCAGCTCTCTTAGTCGCCCCAGGATACCATGGTCAATGTTATCGAAAGCTGCTGAGAGGTCAAGTAGCACCAAGATAGAGGAATGACCCCTGTCTCGGGCTCGCCAGAAATCATCCATCAGCGTGACCAAGGCAGTTTCCGTGCTGTAGCCAGATCTGAAGCTGGGCTGAAAAGGGTCCAGATAATCCATTTCATCCAATGACCGCAGGAGCTGAAGTTCCATTACTTTCTCTACAACCTTTCCCACAAAGGGTAGGTTGGAGACTGGACGAAAGTTTTTTAATTCTGCTGGGTCCAGGGAAGGCTTCTTGAGGAGGGGCCTTACAACCGCTTCCTTTAATGGCTGCGGGAAGGACCCCTCCCTAGATTGGTTGTACTATTTACTTATTGAGCCATGGTGGCTCAGTAGTTAGAAAACAGTTTGCAGGCTAATTCTGCCCACTGCCAGGAGTTCGATCCTGACTAGGTCAAGGTTGACTCAGTGTTCCATCCTTTCAAGGTCAGTAAAATGATTGTTGGAGGCAATGTGCTGACTCTGTAAACCACTTAGAGCAGATGTGTCAAAATCGCGTCGTCACAGCATCGTCACATGGACTTTTTCCTCCTTCGCTAAACCAGGCATGAGCGTGGCCAGTGCATGACACATCTGGCCCGCAGTCTGCGAGTTTGACAGCCCTGACTTAGAGAGTGCAGTAAATCACTATGAAGTGGTATATAAGTCTAATTGCTATTGCTATTATTTCAGTATGTATATGGAGTAACCAAACTTTTTGTCAATTAACTCCTCTTTCCCCTCCAGAAATATCCCCAACCTCCTGGGCAGAAGAAGAAACCAATTATGAAATATAGGATGGGTGGCATCACTATCTTCTTACTTGTCTTCATTGTATGGTTTCCACTTCTTCTTATGTCATTGAAATCTGTGGCAGGTATCACCAATCAGCCCCTGGATGTCTCTGTCAAAATTACCATCAGTGGTTATGAGGTAACAGAGAGGACAGTTGAGAAGAGAATATTTAATCCTTTTACAAGTAGCTCCATTTCCATTGCTCAATTTAAATCAGTTAAAAGGAAAAGGGAGCTATGGGTCTGTGGTTAAGCAGATCCTTGCCTGCAAAATATTTTTATGTATTAAATTAATAAGGCCTCATTCAATCTTCGTTATCTCTATCAGAAAGAATTACACAGTTGGTAATGTGGAAGCTTTTTCTTCCTGATCAGAATAAATAAACTTTCTCCAACTTGCTGCTCTCCAAATTTGTGAGCCCAGCCTGGAAATTGTAATTCAACACATCTGAAAAGTTAAGGTTAAGAATGGGTGGATGACATAATGGTCAGCTGGAGACTTTAGATGTTTGATAGAAGCCATGATGACATTACATGTGTCATGATGTCATCATATAACATAAGTTGTGTAATTTGGAAAATGATGCTGTGAAATTCTCTCCCCCCCTCAATGCATTGTTTGGAGATGCATCCAAAAAGTTGCATTGCTGTATTAACCCAGGGCTAATATAAGCCAACCTATGAGAGAGAATATAGTGAGTTACATTTCTAGCACAGAAAAAGTTTGTAATATAGTTTTGTTTTTCTTTTTTTCTAGTCCTTGTTCACTATGAGTGCTCAGCAACAAAATCTGGTTCCTTTCACTCATGCAGCTTATAATCAACTCACTGCTCAATATGCTCTCTATCCTGTAAGTATATATGCACCTTTGTATATACACAATATATGTACTTCTATATACATACACAAGGACACTCTCACAATGTGAACTGTAGGGATCATGTTTCCCCAGCATTTTTCTTCCAGTTGCCCCACAAAAACACATTACATGTTTCAAAGAAATTTATCTAATTTCTATGGTCACCCATCTCAACTAAGTGACTCTAGTTAGTTTACAGTTCTAAAACAATAAAGCATTTAATACCAATAAAACAATCCAAAACTAAATATATACAGCATATATTACAATGTATCCCCAAATTTCGTTTTGTTACTTCAATTTTGAGAAAAATACATTCTGCATCCCGTTTTACTGTTAATTTCGTATTATTCCTGGTCTTAATCCTGGCCCTAGAAACCAGTTCTTGCCCAAGGCATTGGTGAGTTCTGATTTAAATTCAGTTCAAACCCTAAAACAACAGAGTTATAGAAAAGAAGATGTAAGCGGATCAGTTCAACAAACTAAATCAACTCTCTTATGGAGTGTTGTCCATATTACAGCTTTAGAAGCAGGGACAATGTACATGTTATTATTAGTTACTGGGAACACAGTTCCCAACTTAAGTTATCTTCCCCTTTTCAGTTACCAGCTGCTTTTGTAATGAAAAGCAGGAGCTGTTGGCTGGAAGTTGATCTCTTCCCCTCCTTTGGATTCAGTGTAAAATTTGTTGGTTACCAGATGCCTGGAAGAAATTTCCCAGGTTGACTGCAGCCTATTTCTTTTCTCTTTTCTTTTTTAAATAGTTTTTATTAGGTATTTTACATTTTAAAATGAAAAACACAATAACAAAAGAAATACAAAAAGAAGAAAAAAAGAACATACACATACATCAGATGCTAAAATACAAAACTAACATTTATATACAATTTTACAACTTTCTGCATCAACATTTGTCTTTACGTTTAAATTCCATCTTCCTAATCCTTCTCTTATTTTTATATGCCCATAATTAACATTTTTGTAAGCAGGATTGTTACATATATTTATATCCAGTGTATTAATTCAGTTTATATTCTTATTTCTTAATTTGATTTCTATTTTCTAACCAGGTATATAACCTTTTCCACACTTTGTAATAGTCTGAGTCATCTCTTTCTTTGATCTCCATTGTTAATTTATCCATTTCGGTGCATTTGAGGATCTTTTTAATTATTATTTCTTCAGATGGTGTATTGGTCAGCTTCCACATTTGCGCTAAAGTAATTCTGGCCGCCGTTAGAATATGCAATGGAATATAGTACAGACTTTTTTCCATTTTTTATCAATTGTTCCTAGGAGGAACATTTCTGGTTTAAAATCCAACTTTTGGAATGTGGTAGTATGTCCCTAATTTGTGGCCACATCTCCAACATTTGGGTGATAGGTTAGGATGCATTTTTGCCAATCTCGCTGGTGCTAAATGCCATCTATAAAACATTTTATAGCTGTTTTCTTTATATAATACTGCCATAGTCAATTTATAATTTTTACCCCACAATTTTTCCCACTTTTCCAATTCTATATGTCCAAAATTCCTAGCCCAACTTATCATCGTTTCTTTTACTGTTTCTTCTTCCAATTTGTATCTTAATAGGCAGTTATAAAAATTTACAATCATTTTTCTCCCCTATCCTAATATTATTTTATCTAATTCCAATTGTTTCCTATTTATGCCAAATTGTTCCTTATCTTTTTTGAATCTAGTTTGGATTTGTAAATATGGCCACCATTCCAAATTTATTCCTTGTTTTTTCAGGCCTTGTACTGATTTTAATTCCCTAATAGATTTGTGTATCTCACCATTTTGTCTAGGTCTGTGGTATTTGGATGTATCATTGCTTCCATTGTAGACAACCAAACTGAGACCTTCATATAATGGTTCTTTTTAATTTTCTCCCATACTTTCAATAGTGCATCCCTTAACTTGTGTCATTGAAAATAAGTATGTGATTTGTGTTTCCTGTCCCAAAGAAAACCATGCCAACCAAGCTGGAGGTCATGGCCTTCTATCGTTAATATTCGCTTATTTTTAAGTTGTATCCAGTCTTTGAGCCATGTTAGGGATGTCGTTTGATAGTAGAGTTCCCATTCTGGTATACCAAAATCTCCTTTTTTCCTACTTTTTTGCAATAATTTGAATTTGATACATGGTTTTTTTCTCCGACCATATAAATTTCAATGTCAATTTATTTAATTGTTCAAAGAATTTTTTCCCTAATTTTATTGGTACCGTTTGGAATAAATATAGTAATTTGGGCAATATGTTCATTTTTATCATTGAAATTCTGCCAATTAATGATAATGGTAATTTAGTCCAGTTTTCCAAATCTTTTTGTATTTGTAGTAGGAGTGTATCATAATTATCCCTCTTTATGGTGGTACACCTTTCTGTTAGCAAAATTCCTAAATATTTAATTTTATTTGTTCTCAAGATTCCCAGTTTCTCCTATAGTTCTTCACTCTGTCTGTTGCTTAAATTCTTAGTCAATATTTTAGTTTTGTCTTTATTCATTTTAAATTCTGCTACTGTGCCAAATTGGTTTATTACTTGTAGTAAAATAGGTCCAGATTCTAAAGGTTCCTCAATAATAAATGCCAAATCATCTGCAAATGCTTGGACTTTATATTCTTATGACTTAATTTTTAATCCCTTTATTTCTGAATTATCTCTAATTTGAGACATTAGTATCTCCACAGACAGAATGAATAACAGAGGAGACAGCAGGCAACCCTGTCTTACTTCTTTAGTTATCCCAAAGCTTTCTGTTTGTTCCTCATTATTATTTTTGCCTTCTGTGTAGTATATATGACTCTAATCATTTCTATGAATTTTTTTCCAAAATCATTCTTATTAATCAATTAATCATAAAGTCCCAGTTTAAGTTGTCAAAAGCTTTTTGCACATCCAAAAATATCACAGCTACCTGTTTTTCAGGGTGAGCTTCATAATATTCTAAAGCATTGATGAAAATTCTTACATTATTTTTTATATATCTGTTGGGTAGGAATCCATTTTGGTCCGAATGTATAATTTCGTTCAGTATGTTTTTAATTCTATCTGCTATTATTGCTATAAATATTTTATAGTCAGCATTTAGCAACGAGATTGGCCGGTAATTCTGGATCTTCTGTTGTTCACTATTGTTTTTGGGGATGAGAGTTATTAAAGATTCCCTTCAGGATTCTGGTATCTTGGCCCTTTCCAGTACTTCATTAAATGTTTATAATAACAATTGTTCTAATGATTCTTGAAATGTTTTGTAAAATTCAGCGGGGATTCCATCTGGGCCTGGAATCTTATTATTTTTTTGTTTTTGAATTGTTCTTTGTATCTCCAGTTTCGTTATTTCCTCATTTAATACCTCTTTTGTTAACTCTGATAATCTGGGAAGATTCCTTTGAATATCTTTCTCTTCTATTTTTTCTAAACTATACAATGTTTGAAAGTAATTTATTGCTATGTTTTTCTTTTTTTCTTCCTGGAGGTGCACCATCCCATCCTCATCGTCTAATTGTTTAATTTCTTTTCCCTTTCTTTTTTTAATTTATACGCCAACCGTCTTCCGTGTTTGTTGGCATTTTCAAAGTAATTTTGTTTAGCTGCTCTAATTTTTTGTGCTACTTCTTGGGTTATTAGTTGTAATTTGTGTATAATTAGCTCTTTTTCTACTTAAATTTCTTGGTTTTGGGGTTCTTTCTGTAATTTAGATTCTACTTTTGCTAATTTTCCTTGGAGCTCTGTAAATTGTTTCTTTTTGATTCTATTTTTCCTTATTGTGGATACTATCGATAGATCTCTTATATAGGCTTTCGTTGTGTCCCATAAATTTTGATCTTTTCATTCCAATTTTCTTTTAGAAACAGGTCTTATTCTTTTTTTTGTATATTGAATAAAATTCTTCTCTTTCACTATCCTTTGATTCATAGTCCATCTTCCTCTCCTCCTAACTTCTCCTTTCCAGCTGCTTTTTAATGGGTTGTGGTCTGCCCAGGAATTAGTTTCTATTTCTATTTTCACAATATCTTTCCCTGTTTCTAGATCCATCCAAGCCATATCAATCCTAGACCATGATTTTTGAGGATTTGAGAAGAAGGTATATTGATTTTTTTGAGGGTTAATTTCTCTCCATATACCTTTTAAGTTAAATTCCTGGGCCAATTCAAAGAATGCAGATGGTAATATTTTCCTTTCATGATTTTTCTTTTTTCCGGTTCTATAATCTTTCTTTGGGTCTACCACCGCATTAAAGTAGCCTACTATGCATACTTTATCCATCTCTAATTCTATTAATTTTTTGTGTAATTCTCTCTGATGTATGTTAGGTGCATAAATGACTACAATTAATATTCTTTTTTGTTTTATTGTTACTTCAATCATTAGTGTCCTTCCCTCATTATCTGCATTAATTTGTTTAATCTTTCCTTTATATAAACTGCTATCCCTCTTTTTTTTTGTTTCTGCCAATGCTATGAATAAGTTTCCTATTTTAGGGGCTTTCAAAAAACTGCTTTTTCCTTTTGGGATGTGCACTTCTTGTAGGCATACTATTTCCATATTCATTTTTTGGAATTTAGTGATTATTTGTCTTGGCTTTATCGGTGCATTCAATCCATTTATGTTAATTGATATTAAATTCACCTCCTCTTCCATTAAATTTACTTATTTGTTCTTCCTGCTTCCTTTTTTTGTGTTGCCTCCCTTTGCTGTCTTGTTCCTACCCTCTCTCTGTACTGATTTCTAGTCTCTAACTGCTCTCTCGACCCTCGGTTTGATTCGTTTTTTTCTTGGCTCTTTGATTCTAGTTCCTCTCTACTATCTAGTTCTTCCCCAAAATTTTGTTCAAAAAATTCCTGAGCTTTTTCTACCGTATCTATTCTAATTTTTTTGTCTTCCCAGATTATCAGCATGCCTTCTGGTATTAACCATCGGAATATGATTCTATGGTTAATTAGTTTGGCAGAGAGGAATTGATAATTTCTCTGTTGATCACGAATTCTTTTGGGTAACTGCTTTAGTGTTATGATTTCTTTCCCTTTATACATCAATTTATCTTCTCTTGTCTTTCTGTAAATTTCATCACGAATTGATTTCTTTGTGAACCTAATATGAATTTCACATGATAGTCTGTGTCGTTTTGTATAATTTGTATAGATTCGATATACCTCATCAATACTGTTCCCTAATTCCTATCTATCTATATGCAGGGGCTCTGCTAGTAATTCCACCATGAGTTTATGTAGGTCCTCCTCTCTATTTTCTACCACATTTTGAAATCTTAAGTAATGGGAGAATCTCTCTAGCTCAAGATGTAATACTGTCTCTTCCAACTCCTTTCTCTCCATTGCCCATCTCTCTTCCACAGCTTCTAGTTTCTTTTCGGTTCTTTCTACTTTGGCCTCTACTATTTTTATTTTTTTGTTCATTATTTGCTATTGATTCCTGAATCTTTTCCATTCTGTCATCCAATTTCCTTATGTCTCCCTTCACCTCACACATATCCCCTTTCAGTTCTCCATGGTTGTTATTCATCGTTTCCTGCATTTTCATCTTGACCTCTTGAATCATGTTCAGAGAGGTCTGCATGTTTTGTACGGCTGCTGGTGTTCCTAATTTTTCAGTAGATTGCATATCTGTTATTAATTTCTGCCCTGCAGGTGAAGCCGTCACAGGAGTTGTCTTTTTTACTGTTTTTGTGACAGTAGCTCTATTTGACATTTTAATTTTTTTGAGAGAGACTATTCCACAACACTGTATGTTTCTAAGATATTACTCCAGACTATATCTATACCACTTTCTATCTCTGATCTTTCTTCCTGAACTTAAATCAATATATAATACAAAATTTTCTGTAGTCTCAGTTCACAGTTAATTTCAAGTCAATAATATCAAAGGAGGAGTGAATATATTTTCTATTGTTAGAATAGTTAAATTATTAAGAAATGTCTAAAAAAAAAGGAAAGAAAAGATAAGGAAACAAGGAGAATCAACCAATAATTAAAGAATAGAGGTAAATCACATTAACTAAAAGATTATACGACTATATCTAGTTTTATTTATATTAAATCTTAACTATCAAGTTTCAGGGTTGTATTAAATATTAAATATTCAATATAAAATACAAATCTCATAAAGATGTATTAAGATTCCATTACCAGTCAATATGCTTAATTTATTTAATATCTCCAATCACTGGATCTTCCTCCAATGTTGCGGGACCGCCTTCTGCCACCAATAGCCTCCCACCGGCCAGTACGCTCCCACAGAGAGGGACTCCTCAGGGTGCCGTCAGCTAGGCAGTGTCGGCTGGCGACCCCCAGGGGGAGGGCCTTCTCTGTGGCAGCACCTGCCCTCTGGAACGATTTGCCCCCGGAGATACGGAGGATATCAGATCGCTGGACTTTTTGCTGCGCCCTAAAAACTTTTCTCTTCCATCAGGCAGGGCTGGCGTGAACCCCCCCCCCGTTTTTGAGATATTAGATTTTTAATTGTTTTAGGGGTTTTAGTTGTAAGGTTCTTAATTTTTCGGCCAAAGGATATAATTCTTTTAAATTTTTAACTTTTGTATTGGATGTTTTTTACTTGGCTGTGCACCACCCTGAGTCCACCAGGAGAAGGGCAGTATACAAATTTAAATAAAATAAATAAAATAAATGTACCAATGTTCTTTCTTCCTCAGTCACGATCACAGTTCCCTTTCCCCCCCACTCCTATTCTCCCAGCTTAAAGATGGCAGCTTCCTCCATTTTGCCCAGTCACTGTCACTTCCTTCATCTCTATTTCCAAAGGCAATCCTTTGCTTTCTTCTTTCTCTGACCTGTTTACCACTTACACACACCTTCAGCACTTTCTCGCGGCTACAATCTCAGTTCCAACTTTCTATGTGATTTCCTCAACAGTCCAATCCACAATCCAATCCCTCTCAACACTGCTTGTAAAGCATTTTCATGCTCCGTCAGCCTTTCTTCCGCTCCCACCGCTAAGGCGCCACTTTTTACTCTTTGGAGACTCACTTTTTCCCCTCATCTGCAACCTCCTCAGTTTCACTGAGACAATTCGGATATTTCGCCACTTATAAAGCTCCTCTTGCCAATGCTTCTTGTTGTTTCTCACTATTCTGCTTATTTTATATTCAGGCCACCGCGTCTCCGGACCTGGCTCAGACAGCCGGTTTCTTCCACGTTGGATTCAGGGGGGTTCCACCCTCCGTGGTGGAGGATCGCCTTTCACTCCACCACCTCTGGGCTATCCCCTTTCACTCATTTTCCTCTTCAAGATTCTGTGTTGCCGTTATCAGCTTCCAGGCATGATAAATAGATAAATAGAAGAGAGAGAGAGAGAGAGAGACTTTTTTAAAGCAAGTTTGGTACTCTACCATATGTTGGAGTTGCAAATTTTGCGTTGGCTAGAAACCCTAAGCTTTGCAATTTCAATATTTTTAGAAGATTTTGGGTTGGAAATGACTTTATTGTAAAGTGTGATTTTTATATTGTGCTTTTAAAACTGTTTTAAAATTTATTTTATTTTCCCTAGTCTGCCTCGTACTTTATAGATGACTATAGCCCAGAGGACATTGTAATTGCTAAAATAAAAGGCAATGCCAGCCTGCTTTGGAGCATCAGTCCAGGGAATCGGAAAGCTATAATCGCAGAGCTTTCCAATTCCTCTGCAGTTTACGTCAACTTTCACTGGACTCTAACCAGGTAAAAGAAAAACAAAGAAATGTATTTTATGCATATATTGAAGCCGGCTAGTCCCTAGTTATGGCATTAATTTCCTTCCATTGTGGCCTAGTTTGCATGTTATATTAGGTCCTTTTAAAACCACAGATGACCCTAGCTGCAAACATCTTGAGGTGGTTTCCCAAATTCCACTGAGGCCAAAGCAATCATATTATGATGAACTTATAAGTGTAAATCAGACTTGTAACCCTCCTCTAAGGCAAATATTCCTTTCCAAAAAGGGGCACCCTTCTTAAATCCCTATTTGTTGTGCTTTCACAAATATGTACAGTCCAGAAAACATCACAAAGATGCATCAGACCTTCCCCAAGTGGCTTCTGTGATTTTTTTAAAAAAAAAATTAAGATTTTTGCTCATTTTCTTATGAAATCAGGAATGCTTCTATTGTGATGAATATTGAAGCATCTGGTGTACATACTGTGCGATATGGAGAGAAGGAAATAAGGGATCAAATCATTCACATGCTCTCTGGGACTCGGACTGAACCAATGTAGGTGGTATTTTTTGTTTTAGTCTCTATTTACAGGTCTGCTGTGGCCAATAACCAGGAATGTCTGCAACAAGTCAAGGTGGTAATGCAATTGCATATCAAATAATGCAATGTCATTGTTAGACTTTTGGGGAAAGGCTATTTTTGTATTTCCATTGCTGAGGCTAGGAAGAAATGTTTGTGGGGTTTCAGATTCAAGTTTGCAATTGTTTTTCTGGCTGTAGGCACAATGTTTCTTGATCTGAATGGAGGAGATATGGTATTTTTGCTCCATTTAGGCAGTAAAATATGTAGGCTAGATGAGTGAGTTTAAAAAATTAGCATTGGTTTGGAAGCTTGTAAAAATAACTGTTATTCTTTTTCCCTCTCTCAAGTGTTCTTCCTGGTATTCTACCAAAATATCTCAGAGCAACTTATGCGGCAGATGCTAAAATAGCAAATAACTTGAAAGTTGGTAAGTTCTATGATTGGCAGATTAAAATATGCTGTCTACTTTGAGATATTGCCTATAATGCTATTTCTAAACTGCTCTTAAACAACAGACAAATTTTATGACTATTGCTTGGCTGAGTAGAAGCTGGGAGAAGATACAAGGACTTTTTTATATTTAAAATCAAATACATATACACACCCATCATGGCTAGCTAGTTCCTATGTCTTGAAAAAAAAATTGAGTATTCTCTTTTAAAGTAGATTTTTAACCTTGTTTTGCTGCTATTTCACATCAGAATGAGCTATAATCGTTTGCTTGGATTGGTTATTGCAATGCATGAAAATCATAGTCAATGTTTAACATCTCATGTGAACTAGATCACTTTGGCTTAATTAACAAACCATGGTTAAAACAAATTATAAATTGCAGTAGACTACATTTTTTCCCTGTGGTTTGAAGTGTTTGGTAATAATTGCACACAAATAGGGGAATGCCAGTATGCACTGGTTTTGACTGTAGAATCAGAAGATAGAAGATGTGAGTGTGCAAACCACTTTTGACTGTTCTTTTTTTTTTTTTAATTTGATTTATATGCCGCCCTTCTCCGAAGACTCAGGGCGGCTTACAATGTGCTCAGCAATAGCCTTCATCCTTTTGTATATTTATACAAAGTCAGCTTATTGCCCCCACAAACTGGGTCCTCATTTCACCTACCTTAGAAAGGATGGAAGGCTGAGTCAACCTTGAGCCTTGGCGAGATTCGAACCCTGCAGTAATTGCAGGCAGCTGGTCTTAATAAGCTTAATAACAGGGTGCCTTAAACCCCTGTACTACCAAGGCTCTTTTTTTTGACTGTTCATACATAATATTAAATCATCATTTTCAATTGAAGTTATAATGCCCTAAAAACCCTAATAAATGGTTTCACATATTCGTATGAAAACAAAACAAAACAAAATAGACTCAATTATAGCTTAGTATTATACACAGCGTCAGTGTCTTTCAAATTTGGCAACTAAGTATGTTGACTTAACTCCCAGAATTCCCCAGCCAGAACCCAGGTCTTTGCTCCCTGTCTTATTACAAGATGTAAATAGAATTGAGATCAGCACAGGCATGTGTTTTGTAATGAGGAAGAAAGTGTGGGAAGCAGAGACTAACTTGTTTTCAACAGTTCATTCCCAGAAGTTAGAAGACATTGATGCGTTGGCCTTCTTCAGAAATATAACCATAAAGCTGCAGCACTTGCCAGACAAGAAGTCTTCAAGTCATGTTACTGAATGGTGGATTGTTAAAGAGCAGACGCCTCTCTGTTTGGATAACAGATGCAGCAAGAATATGGAGATTATAATTTGTAACGATAAAGTTACTCCTTCTGGCCTGGGATATATCACTTCATATGGGTAAGGATAGTGAAGCCACTATTTCCTCTTCTGGCTCCCTAGTCAGCCATTGACAGAACTGGAGTTAAATGAATCTGAAGGCCACTAAGCTGAAGAAGTTGTCCTAGAGATTTAGAGAGTTTCCTTGGTAGTTGTTATAGCCCACATTTTACAATGTTTTTGAGGTAATCCTATCGGTGGTTGATTCAAACATGCAAAAGAGGTTGGCAACTTTCTCAGAAACTAGTGAGAACATCAACAAGAAGTCTCATTATGCCACCAATCTTACCTCCAGTGTTTTATTCATTCACAAACTGTAGCAAGCAAGCCTTAGAACTGCTCTAAATTTCCCACTATGTACAATTTCAAGAAAGGAAGGAGGAGTGATCAGGCTTTTTAATTAGAATTGTTATTTTTATATTGTATTTTACACCAAACTGCTAGCTAATCTGTGATTAAAAAACAAGGGTTAACTTTAAATAATAAAAAATCTAGCCTCGGAAAGCCTTAGAATAGCTTTGCTTTAGAATAAAATCCTCTGGGAAAATCCTGTTTAGCAATTTAATGAACATAGCTTTTACTTATATTCACTAATAGGAAGCACTACATGATTGGTTTCATTCTATACTGGAACTCATCAGACATAAACAGCCAGATTTTATTCTGTGAGGTTTTAATACTCTACCAGGAATTGAACGCATGGACTGTCCCACTTTAAGATTTTATACAGCAACCATCCAATGTTGCAGGAAGAGATGCAGAATGGTATATAAAATCCATGATCCCTTAAGTTTCTGAGCAAATATGGGTGTTACATTATGCCATGTCTCTACATATAAGACTGTCTGATTAGTTCCAATACAGCATGAAATAGGTGACGCATTGCCTCCTGGCATCCCATACATTTTGTAAAAATAGGAAAATTTCTCCAAGGGGAAGTTAAAATCATGTAAACATGAGAACATGACCTAATGTAATATCCGTGTGTTTTTGCTTTGAGAGCTTAAGCAAGATGGACTGTATATATTATTTTGATACAGTTTTTGTGTCAGATTCAACTCTTGCATCAGGGTTAAGGTTTTCACTTGCCCAGGAAGGTCAGTAATTCAAAGGTAGGGTACACATACAAGTATACAAATTTGGGAACATATAAGAAACAGCTTGGGCTAAAGCAACCTGCCTTGGAAGATAAGTTCAGAGGGCCAGAAACAGGAAAATGCATTTCAAACCTTATACTACTCACTCTGAAAATAACCTTGGCTCTCTTTTCCCCAAACACCAGCATTATCGGTCTCTATATGTCATTTGTTATGGTTATTGGGAAATTCATCCGAGAATATTTCAGTGGCCTCTCGCATTCCATCATGTTCGAAGAGCTGCCCAATGTGGACCGCATCCTGAAACTGTGCACAGAAATCTTCTTGGCCAGAGAGGCTGGAGAATTGGAACTAGAAGAGCAGCTTTTTGCTAAACTCATCTTTCTGTACAGATCACCTGAAACGATGATCAAATGGACCAGAGAACGCAAGGAAAAATAAAAAGCAGCATGGAAGGGAGATTACTATTAAGGAACTCTACAACTCCCACTTGGGAGTTGGGCATCACTCCACAGGACATCAAGGCAATGTTGTTTTGGTGTATTGGATATTTAATCTGCATTATGGAGGTGTGCAACTACATGTGAGATTTAATATCCAGGGTGTGATATGTAGTTTTATATGTACAGAGATTGAATTCTATAATGCTGAATAATGATTTAGGCCAGGGGAAATCTTTAGTAAGTGGAAACTGTTCCTATGATACCCCCCCTTTAATTGTATGCAGCCTGATTTCAAATTACCAATTCAGTTCAACAGAGCAGTAAAATTAGCAATTAATTAGGAATTATGTCTTTAATTTGTCAAATAATTGTGGCATGAACAAAATGAAATGTTAACATAGGCATACAAATAAAATACAGTTTTGTATCCTGGGACTTTCTGTGTTGTCTCTTGCCCACTAAGATTTCCAGATGGTCATGTCCATGTTTAGTGGTAGATATTCCCATACAGTGGTCACAATCTTGTGTGTAGAACACAGAATAATGATTTTGCCCTAGGAAAACAAGAGTCTACCTGAAGGTTAAAAAGTTTTCTAAATAGTGACAGCACTTTAATAATAGAACCAATTCTCTATAAAGATAGTAACTCCCTTTTGCTGGATATATTCAAGCAGAGACTGAACATCTGTCATAGGTGCTATGATTCCTGCAGTGGATGCCTAATTGGATATCATGGTCATGGTAGTCCTAACTCATTGACACTAAGGTTTTAATGTTAGTAATGGGTTAAAAGATAGAGCGACCTTCCTAGCATGGTCCTACTTTAGGCCTTTGACACAAAAGGTATAATAAAAATGCATTAGTTCCAGCCAATCCAGCCCTTTGTTTCCAGAAAGGACTGGCCAACCAGAGGCCCAATGGATTCCAAGAAGAGCAAGAGAGATTGCTTTTCTTGGAACCTCCATGGTTCCAATTGCTCTCATGACCTACTCATGAGACATTAACTGCTCCAGCTGCATTTAGCTGCCTTCCATCAATATAGCAATCTGTGTATCTTCCATAAATTTCTCTAACATCTTTGGAACACCTTCAGGGATTAGCAAAGAAAAAAAAAACATTGTAAATCTGATTTTAAAACCCAAACAATGTTGAAACAAGAGAAGCTTTATTCTGATGTGGTTACTTCCCACAATGTTTAATTCTAAACATTGATGTAATTCATCAGCACAAGCATGTTAAGAACTTCATGGAGATGTGCACTGGGTCACACTGATAAAATAACCATGCAAGAAAAGCAAGTGGGGGAAATTTTTGTTTAAAGCCTATTTTTAAAGAAAGAGATTAAGGCCTCCATTAATGTCATGGGATACAGCAGAGCCCAAAGTGGTTCTTATCCCAAGATTGCCACCTTACAACTTAAGCAGATGTTGGGCTTCACATTTCCCAGTGTGATGCAGGGTAAAAGAGTCATTGGTTCCTTCCAAATCGTCCCTCTCTAGTTCCTGCTCACCTACCTGCAGGGGACAAAAAAGCAGGTTGAGTTGTCCAAGAAGCAGGACAGAAGGGAATTGGAGTCCAGAGGCAGAATGGCTGGAAACAGAGTGCCTTTAACCATGAAGTATGCACTTGGTCACAACTTTAAGATCTGTGGACTTTAACTCCTAGAATTCTCCAGCCAGCCAGGCTGAAGTCTACACATTTTAAAGGTGCCCAGATTGAGAAACACTGGTCTAAACTGTATGGTGACAACTGCATTGTGTTTCCCCCTCTACTTTATATATTTTGAAAGACAAGGGACTAAGGAAGCCCTGACAAGAGTGAGAATCCAGGAAACTAGCTAAAAAAGCTCTATAAGAAGTAAGAGGTCGAGCAGCTGTAATTAATAGGCTCAGATAGTTTTTGAAAGGGAAGAGATGAGAAACATTTCTAGGCCCTCCTCAACAAGGGCTGCAAGCTGTTACACATTTGCAAAAAACTAAAAAATAATGCAAACCATTCTTAGAAACCAGTAGGACTGGACTTTTCATTATCAGGGAAAACCAGAATACAAGCAACCACAACTTTTGTGTCTATTTTCTTTTACACTTGAAATGGCCATTTCTGACACATGCTATTTAAGATTTTAGGAAATTGATCAGTGCAAAGTGAGGTAATTCTGGCATGCCAGCTCCAAAATAGGGAGAGGAGGGGAATTAAACCAAACGCCGTCTCTTGCAATCTCTCCCCAAGTCGTCTTCTAAGGGGTCTCCGCTGCAGCCCAATGGTGAGACCATGTTCAGCAGAGGGTCTTCAGAGGCACGGCCAAAGAGTGACAGCAACAAAGCCACACCGTAGCCAGTGGCTCTTTCTCCCTAGAGGCAAACAAAAGGCATCTCAGATGACTAGCCTTTGATCCCAAACACACACACAAACACTAGGAGAAAGCTCGGAAAGCTGATGCCAAATGTCCATTCACACAAGTGGCTTGTTTGGGATTGGCTCAGGCTATTGTGTGAACCAAAACCACTTGGGTTTATTCAATAAATTCTAGTTATCCAAATGTAGCATAAAGTTTGCACACATGAATCTATAGTTACATTTAAAAAAAAGAAAAAATACAATAAAGCACATTTGTAAGCATCCTTTTTGTGACTGAACACAAGGTATTTTTTAAAAAAAACATGTGATATTTAGGCTTGCAATAGAAGAAAATTCAGGCTACGTAGATTTTGTCCTTTACGTTTTTAAGAGGAAAAGTGTAATTAATACTATAAGATGGTTGAGAGCCAACGTGGTCTAATGTTAAGGCACCAAACCAGGAAATGGTAAATTCTAATCCCACCTTAGACACACCACCAGCTGAGTGACCTTGGGCCAGTCACTCCCAGCCATTGGAAGAAACAATGGCAAGTGTCACTTTCGAAAATTGCCAAGTAAATTGAAGGGATTTGTTCAGGCAGTCAATAGGGATTGAAGCTGTCTTGAAGTTACTACCACAACCAAAATAATAATAATAATAAAATCTCAAAACATCTGGAGCACCACTTGAACACCATTGGCATTGACAAAAATCGCCATCAGCTTCATCAATTGCAAAAGGCAGCTTTACTTGGAACAGATTACATCCTTTAACAACATGAAAAAAACATTTGCTATCCCAGGTCCTTGGGAAGGACTTGATAGATGGATAAAAATGCTAAATCCAGTCTAAACATCTGGCTGACTATATAATCAACCATAATAAGACAGTCAAATGATAGTTTGAAGAATTTTCTATTTAGTTCAACTTATATAAATTTGCTTGCTTTGCATCACAAACAAACAAAAAAAGAAACTTTACAGAAAAGGGTTCAAGGATAGATGTAAAGATCAACCACCTGCTTATTAAAAGAATTAAAATGCAGAAAGCAACTGTAACATCCACAATATTCCATTGAAGTTTTTTTTCTTATTGTAACTTGGGACTATTATTAGGAATTGTCACTGAAGAACAAACTATTGTTTAAATTCTTCCTAAAACTAATATAAAGAAACCCTACACATAACTCCCAGGAAGAATATTTTATAATATTTTGAAAGAATACAGCATGAGTGAGTTTGCTGAACCTTTAAAAGACATTCATGCGAACATCAGGGAAATTTTGAAGACTTTAAAGACTGATATAGGTAGTCCTTGTCTTACAAGGACTCATTCGTTCAGCAACTACTTGAAATCGTTAACAGCACTAAAAAGTGATTTACAACCAGACTTTGCACTTCTGACCAACATCCCCAGAGTTACATGATCATAATTCAGGCCCCTCCCCTCCCAGGAGTCCCCATGTAGCCCATTTTGGATGCAGCTAAGTGCAGGGCGCGCACGGAGGCTTGGGGAGGGCGAAAAACGGGCCTATCGGAAGTTCAGGAAGGTCAGAAACGGGCCTGGAGCCTGGGGAGGCCGTTTCGCCCTCGCCCCCCGCCGTGGCTCACCATTGCCACACCCACCCAGCAACTGGGCAGAGAACCCCTTGCTAAAATTTTTGAAGCCCATCCCTAGACTGTATGTATTGATTAGATAAAAAGAATAGAAAAAACAAGTGGGAGAACAGTTACAGTGGGTATAACGTTAGAGGGAAAAAAAACCTCTGTGTTTGATCATAATTGAAAGCAACAAACATTTATGTAGCAGGAAGAAGTTTTTTTCAAGGACATAAATAACTGGGACAAAACTCCAGAGAGGAAGACATGCAGCACACAAAGCATTAAGAAAATCCTCTTTACTCACCGCATGGACGGGAGCTGCAATATCTATGTGGACCCAAACACCAGGCCAATCAAACCCGATGTGTGAAGCAATAAAAAGTCCAGCACAGGAGCTGGGAGAGTTATCTCGATCCTGAAGAAAAAAACACAACACAGGGGAGTTGCCTTTAGTTCAGTTCAGTCTGCTTTAGAACAGCAGTCCTGAGAACGTGGCCTGAGGGGAACCAGGCCACGTGAGTGTGATAGGCAAGTTGAACTGTGCATGCATGTGTGCCGGCCTGTTACTTGCGTGAGTCGAACTGCCTACGTGTGCACCGGCCCACCGCTTGTGTGGCCTGGTTGCAAATAGGCCATGGTCCGGTAGTGGCCTGTGGCCTGGGGATTGCTTTAGAACATCAAATTTAAAACCGAGACATGGGTGTTTGCAGAGATGAGTAAATGATACTGCTGGGTGATGTTACCAGGCAAATGCAGTGATTTGCACACTGGGATTAGAGAACAGGAGTGTGCAATATCAGCATTTGCAGGGTGATGACATCATTCTGCCATCTCTGCAAATTTGCTATGGTTTCTAGAGCAGGTGCACAGAAGAATCCCATTTTCAGTGGTTGTTTCCGTTCAAAATCCTTCAGGCAGTGCAGTTGGAGATCCGGCATCTTTTTTCAAATCTCCCCCTCCCCTGCCTTTTTCTTGGTTGACCTTATACATAAAATAATCTGATTTTGAGGAGCTGTTAGCCCACACTAATAGAGGATGGATTAACAGTTATTTGCAGAGCTAACCATCTGAAAAAAAACAAAGCATGCTGTAAAAAAAGCAGAGGGCAGAAAACAGCCTGGCAGCTGACATGAGGCAAGGATTATAAATGGATAAATTATTATAAATCAAGCAAACCTACTGCCACTGAGTTCTTCATGTCGGCTACAGCTGAGGTAAATTCACTAAAATGGAGCTCTGGGCAATAGACGAGGGGGTGAACCAGATCACCACAGTTTCTGCCTGCTTTGATACAGGCCTGTTCCCACTCTTCGTTATTGGTGAGGACAGCCGCATGGTACTTCCCCGTGGCGATTCCCTAGAAGGGGTATAAGGGCAAAATGTAAAAGCAGAAGATATCTGAGTGTGTACTTAGAAGTGTTTCAGCAAGATGCCCCCCCCTCCCCCCCCCAATGCACTGGGATTAAGAGTTCCTCCTTTTTCAGATGC